CGACTTGTTTCCTGAAAATCCTTGTCCTCTCCAGTGCTGAGAGACGGCTTCCTGCTGATCTGCTGAGCCAGCTCCTTGTCAGGGAGGAGATGAGAACAAGATGTGGCTGGTTAATGGGTGAGCCGGGCTGCTCAGGGGCGGCGTGGCCCTCTCTCTGAAGGGACAGCCTTGACTTTGCCGCTGAAAGCACTGCCTGGACACATGGGCATCGGTGGGCCTGGCTCGAGGCAGTGGGAACACTTAAAAGCAGTGTGTTGTCTTTCAGTAGAATTGCACAGATGGTGGTGATGAAACATGACCCTTCCTTTTGCTTCTAGAAATAAGGCCTTTCCTGGTCAACATCCTCAGCCCCGCTTGGGGGAAGGGTTGTTATTTCAAAAAAACCAGCCCTATGTTCTTACATATCCCTCCTCTCCTGCTCTGTGTTCTGCTTGCCTCTGTTGTTCATCTGAGTGTATTATTCACATCTAAGAGCTAATGGTTTCCCGAGTGTGACACCACCTGTCCCCAAGGCCACTGTCATCATTGAATTGGGCTTTGCACTACTCGTTCCTGGCGGTGTGTTAGTTATCAGTTTCTACTTTCTTTCTTTTTTTTTTTTTAAGATTTATTTATTTATTTATACAAGCACTGGGTACAGTCAGAAGCACGGGAGGGTGAGAGAATTCACCAGAGCCAGAGCGGGGAGCAGAACAGGCAGAAGGACCGAAGTACACTGCTGAGGAGAGCAGCGGGCACGGCAGGAGAGGTCTGCGTGCCATGTGGGACCCTCACCAGCGGCTGGGGATCAAACTGGCGCTGCAGAGGCTGTGGGCAGCTTCGCAGCCCAGCGCTCAGTTTCCACTTTCTGAGAGAGATGGAGCAGAGGGTGATTTCAAAGTATGCTCAGGCTCAGACCTGCCTTTGAGACCCCACTCTGACTCTGGGCAGTGGGACAACATCCATGTCCAGTTCCAGTGTCCTTACAACACAGGGGAGCTGTTAGTGCCAGCACACAGATGTGTTGTAAAGGTGCAATGAGACAGCACCAGGATTTAACACTTGAATACCTGTGATTCATAACATGTTGATTACTCTTCTGGGTTTTCAGAATGATCCAGGAAGTGGTGGAGGCATGCTTGATGGGGGAGGTGGTGGGTGAGCGTGGGAAGTGATCTTAGTATTTCCGAAATTTTCCTGTCTCAAATATTGTTTTGAGAATTTGTGTTTTAGGGCGGTGGTTCCAGACTTGAACCTGCATCCAGAACCACTCAGAAAGTTCTTAGAAAAGGTGGTAGGACCCCACCCCACCTTTTCTGTTTGCTTTGGAGGGTGGAGTGGGGCCCTTACAGCTGCATCTAGCTCCCAAGTAATGTTGCCATAGGTCCTGGAAAAGCAGTTAAAAAAAGAGGAAGCAGGTGTTTGTGTAGCTTCAGAAGATAGAATGATAAGCAGTGGGTACTGGCCACAGAGAGGTCGTTTTTGGTTCAATGCCAGAACCTTCTCTAACCATAGTCAGGTCTGGGATATATTGTAGGTTTGGTTCCACATCATAACAATATGGATGAATAGCACAATAAAGTGATTCACACGAATGCTTTGTTTTCCCAGTGCATAGCAGCCATGTTTGCACCGTATTGTACTCTATTGAGTATGCAATAGCATCATGTGTAAAAACAATGCACACACCTCAGTTAAAAGTACTATTGCTTAAAAATGCTAGACATCAACTGAGCCTTTGGTAATTTGTAATCATTTTGCTGGTAGAAAGTCTTGTAAAGAATGGGACACTTTTATTTTTTTCTGATCAAATTTGATTGATTTGCCATTTGTTTACAGCACTATGAAAGTTTGGGAGTACAGCTTCACACCTCGATATGTGTGCATGTTTTACTTAGCCTCCACTAAAGCTTCTGAGCCAATACTTGGTCATGTCACCCCCCCCCATCCTCATTGGTAACCTCCATATTGCTCAAGGTATATGAATTCTTTGTGCTGTGTTTTGCCAGTTTGTTTGTTTTTCACAAATGAATGAAATTATCTGGGAATTGTCTTTTACTTTCTGACTTACATCACTTAGCAATGTCATGTCAAAATCCATCCATACCATGCCGAAAGACACTCTCATCCTCTTTAATAGCTGAGTAGTATTCCACTGAGTATGTATCCTACCATTTCTTTATCCTGTTGCTGTGTACACATGTCTTGGCTATGCCAACTGCTGCTTCTATGAACTTAGGCTTGCATAAGTCTTTTTATATTAGTGTCTTCATAGTCTTTGCGTAAATTACCTAGAAGTGCTGCATTACATAGTATTTTCATTTCCAGTTTTTAAAATAATCCCCATACTGAAACATGGTCTCGTTGAGGCACAAAAAACAAGTTCTATCCATGCTATCTGTGGTCAGATGTGGAGAGAGCAGCCTCTAGAGTTTCCTGTCACTGGAGATGTCCCATGCTCATTGGCCATTTGGCAGATTTTTACACAAAGTAAGTTTATTTATACCACCATCCCCTTGCTCACAAGAATAACACTGACCACCTGCCTGGTAGGTGTTGGGAATTTGAAAAAGGCAGCTATGGCTCTGCTTTTAGGGCTAGTTAGTTTACCTAAAGAATTGTTAAGGTCCCTTTCAACACTGGGGCTCTGATAAGGTTGGTGGGCAGAACCTGCCTAAGAAGGCAATCTTAATTGTTCTCTCTAGTGCATCATAATGTCACTGGGTAAACGGCTTCCTCCTCTCACCCCCGAGACTCAGCAGAGGGCCACAGTGTACTTATCAGAAGTAGTGCATTTCCTGCAGAAGTCAATCTCCCCGCTGGCCCCGGCTGGATGCTTCAGCTCTGAGCCCCTGAATGGCCACCTACTCTACAGGCTATGGTTGCAACCTAGGCATGGGCTGCAGAATGAGCTAATTGCTGTTCACCTGTCTCAGATGACATCCTGGAGAGTTAGTTCATAGCTGGAGAAAGAAATATATTAATTCCATCAGTTTTTCTGGCTTCTTTCCTTATAATCACTGTTGAACATACTGATGGTTATTGCTAACCTCACTGAGCTCCCCTTTCTGCTTGGCATGGTATTAAGCTTTTTTCATGCATCATGTCCTTTATGTTAGTTATAGGGCTATCAAGTAGGTGGATTATCATGTTTTTACAGAAGAAGAAACAGAGGTTCATAGTGATAACATCACTGGCTCAGAGACAGTAAATGTCAGAGCCTGAACTGAATGCCAGACTGTGCTCTCAGCACCCAGTCAGTAGACGCACTCATTCATTCACTCACTCATTCATTCAATGATTAGATAAGTCATTCTTTCATGGAATAAATGTAAAGCATTGATACATATTGATGAACTAAGCAGCTTGTCCTTTGTCCACATGAGGCTTATAGTTACCCCTCTCCCCAACCCTTTCAAATGGGAGATTCCTCCCTGTGATCCTTGGCTGAGTAGATGCTAAAGGAAAAAAGTAGGGGCTGGGAGTCAGATTAGTCTACTCCCATGTGAATGAGTGTATCTTTATACAAACAAGCTGAGTTTTATGCTTGGCTTTGTTTTTACATTTCCCTCTTGGGTTTCTTCTTGTCTTGTCCAAGGCTGGATGCTGCAGGATTTGACATAGTAATTGAGACAATTCTTGTGGTGTTCGCCTCCGACTCCAAGCTAAGGGGTTGGGGGAATCTGAGGTCATGAGTCTCAGAGCTGAGAGCTGGGAGTGACTCTAGATGGACTCTGGAGACCCTTCTTCCTCAGTGACCTCATCTTGCTGGGAAATGTCCCCTCCTCCAAGAGCAAGACATCCCTTTGGCTTTCTCTGCTGGCCTTAGCCTCAATTTTCATCTTTTTCAAAGCAGTTTCAAATTGCATTTTCAGTTTTCAAAATAAATATATGAGTTACTTTGAAAAATCGACTTTTTTTTGGAAATCTGCAGCTTACACTGTAAATCTGCCTTCTCCTGAGATCATTAACTGGACATTTGTTTCTCCATTTGCTTTCCTTGTGTGCACTGCATGTGCTTTTATGGTTTTTCACTAAAAGGGATTTTCAAAATCTGTCCTTTACTGAAATTGTCTGTATCCAGCTCCCTTCTCGACATCTTCAATATCGGCACACGTAGATCCATTCCATTCTTTCTGTTAGACTCAACTGCTAATGGCCCTTCCATTAGCAGCCTCTTTGTCTCCTGACCTTGACCTTCTACACATGCTTTCTGCTTTTAATGTGGCTGAGCTAGCTGCGGCATCCATTTGGCTCTCTTACTTTTAACTTTCAGAGAAATTCTAAGCACCTCGTTTGGAGTTGCCTTGCCTTTGATGAGGGGTTCTTAACCTCAGCTTCAGGGGAACTGTGGCAGGAGAGAAACCAATGTCTAATTTTAGAAAAGTTGGGGGGGGGGACAGAATGTATTGGAAGGGTAACAAACAGAGCTACCAGGTCTCAGGTACGACAGGAAAGGCAGCTCCAGAATCCAAGCAGCAGGAACAGAGGAATGGGTGATTTGTTCCTGTCTCTTCAGTTCTTGCTGAAGAATTCAGTTCATTACTCCATTGGCTTAGCTTGTATTAAGGCCACACTTGAACAGGGCCAGAGACGATCCCTTGATTGACAGTCTCAACAAAACTTGCAACAAGGAAGAGGTTTTCCCTTAAAGAAAAATGGGGGGTGCTGATACTGAAAGTTGGTCGATGCAGTGATGGAAAAAACCCATCCAGGTCCATAATCCCTGGGAACTGTGTGTATGTCGGCACCTGTTTGTCCCCAAAACTCACAACTGCTTTGTTTCTGCCGACTCTGGTAGTGTACAAATGTTGATAAAAAAGCTCAGTGAGTGAAAAAGCCATAACAAGCTCTCCCTGCTTTTCTTTTTTGTGCTTGGGGCCCTTGCAGCTGTCCAGTTTCTTCTGCACAGAGATGCTTGGGGTGGTCCTGCCTGGGTCAGCTAGAATCACTGGCTGCTGGTTTCAGGAGGGTGACGTCTATCAACTCAAGAGACAAATGTCTGCTTTCATTCTTTGCAGGCATCTTTTTGCTCCAGCCTACACAGAAACCCATTATACACCAAGTGGGACCCCTCAAACCACCACGCTGAAACCTGAGGTAAGTTCAGGTCTATACAAACCTATCAAGCAGCCGCCCTCTCCCATTACCACTCTGAGGAGACAGGCAATGGTGCTGATGCTCCTCTGAAGGCATGATTTCCCTGACTGAGGCCAAGGGAACTGACAGAAGTGGGGTACAGATTTGTTTTCTCTTGAGTGTCTCAGCCATGATGGCTGATTGGTCAAAGATATTTCAATTTATTGTATTTGATTAACATTGGTATAAATCACTCTGGAGCATAGGTTTTCTTTGTTATTAACCCACCTATTAACAAAAGTTTAAATGAAAGAACCAATTTCCTGTAATCCTGCAGGCTCCCCCAGGCGGATATTGGCTGTTCCTTTTTCATACGGGCAGGTGGGTTTTGTGGTCTGCCTTTTCATGCAATGTTACATTATGAGGCTTTTCTTCTTTTGCTGTCGTACTGGAATTGAATATTCCCCCACTGAGAGTTGTTTTTAACCATAGATGTTGGCACAAAGCTTTGTCACTTAAAAAATGGTTCTTCAGATGGATTCATCTTAGTTGGCTTCACCCCAGCCCCACTGATGAGCAGCCATATACATTTCTTAGTTTCTTAGCTTTTCCCATGACTGAGGGACCTCTTAGAATCAGAGATGCTTTTGGTTTAGATCATTTCTTGTACTTTACTATGTGAGTGATTAACATGACGTGTCAGCTGCTACATGGATTTATCTGTGGATGACTAACATAAAACCAAGAAAATATACTTCTCAGAGATTTATACCGATGTTAATCAGGTGCAGTTACCTTCGCCCATTCTATTTGTTTCTTTACCCGTTTTAGCCACCAAAGCAGGGATCCTTTACAACATCTGGGCTAGGAGCTCTATGCTACTAGCACTTAGTGGTTAGAGACCAAGGATACGGCTAAAGGTCTGGCAATGTGCCAGCAGATAATTAGCCTTCCCAGCAGAGAATTATCTAGCCCTAAAAGTCAGAAGTGCCCGAGCTGAAAAACTCTGGGTTACAGTGATCCGCCTTCCACTCTGGGCTGGCAAGGTGGGATGAAAGGGGGAAAGATGGACTCCGGAGGGCAGTGCTGGCCTGCTCCCTGTGCCTTATAGATGGGGAAGTGTGGCGAGCAGGAAGCCCCTCTGCCTCGGTGCTCCCCAGCAGCTTTCAGTGGAACCACATGCCCACGTGGCCCATTCTGTAGATATCCTGCCGGGGTGTGGCTGTCTGAAGATCAGTGGCAGCTGCTAACAGATTAGTATCAGATTACTCTTAAATGGGGAAAAGGGCATAGGGCAGTTATGATTAATCTAAGAGCTCTAGGGCACATTAGCCAAGCAGTTGAGCAGCCATGTTGGTTTTTGTGTGTGGAGGTAGAGGATGGCAGTGCGGGTCGGCTGTGTCTCCTCATCCCCAGGAGATGTCCAGCTTGGCTACATACCTGCAGTGCTGTGTAGAAACCTCTCCTCCCTTCCTGGAGACCTCTGTTCCCTGCCTCTGGGAAAGGAAGAGGGACAGGCATGCTTCAAGAGCCCCTGGACATGGCGACCTCACAAAAGCACCCCCTCTGAGTTTGGCCGGGCACTTCTGTGGCACTAGCTCAAGAATGGGTCTCAGTGGCAAGTGTTGCCATGAGCTCATGCTCCCTGCTCTGAAAGCCCCCTGGGCTGGCCCCCTCAGATGAGAAGCCCAGAAGGAATGTGATGACTTCATGGCTGTTCATTGACTTGTTCTTTGTGCTCTCAGAATTAGCAGGCATGTTGTAAGGGGCTTTCAGAAAGAGAGGAGTGGGGAAAAAACTGCCCCTCGGTCCCTAGTTCCCTTCTTCCCGAAGGGCATGTTTGACCAGAGCACATCCTGGCTGAAGTGGGGGACAAGTCATCGTTCCCTCATATGCCCCCCGCTGCTGGATGCTAGCAAAGCCTCCTCCCAGCCCCGTGGGGCTCCCACTCAGCTGGCTTATTTGGATGCTAAGAACTCAAAGGGAACAGCGGGTGGAATAAACCATTTATCCAGGCTTGGCCCATATGTCCAGCACCATGCTTGGCCTGGGGTCTGGGGCTTGCTGGGGCCCTCTTCCAGCTCACCAGCAGCCCCTCAGGTGTCAGCCCTGATCTAGGCCAGGCCCCTGGGGATGGGTCTGTAACCTGTTCCAGTAGGAATGTTGCAGAGTTTGGGGACTGAGGCCAGGGTTGTAGTCTTGGCTTTGACTCGCTGCGTGACCTTAAGCAACTCTCTCAACCACACTGGTGCTGAGTTTCTTCATCTGAAAATTGGATATGCTATGATCTGACTCTCAGGGCTGGGGGCGGGGGTGCACGACACGATGAATCACTGATTTTTATGGGAATTTGTAAATTGTCTTCCAGTGATGAGAAAATGGAGAGGAAAGGGGACCTGCTTAGATTCCCATAAGCAGTAAGTGGCGAGGCTCTGATAAGCACGTGTATCTGCTGGTGCAAGAACAGAAGTCCTGTCACTGAGTGGGCACTGCTTCTGCTCATTACCTCATCATTTCCTCATATGCCCCCATGCTACTAAAGGCAGGCGTCGGTCTAGAGTCAGGGTTCTGGGTTTGGACTCTCCCCTCTGCTGTGTGACCTTGTGAATGACCCAAAACCTCTCTAACCTTCAGTTTCCCCTGAAAAAATGACAGTAATAGTGTCCACCTCACGAGGCCATGGGCAGAATTAAAGGGGAAATGTCTGTGTAAGTACCTTATCCAGCATCAGGAGCTGGGTAAGATGCTTGCTGTTATTGCTAATGACAGTAAAAGGCAGGTATTATTCCTCCCTGTGGTAATGTATGGGAAGGGCCATTTTAATTTTGTTTAAAGCATGAGTATAAATATTTATTTATAATTAGAAATCCCACGTTAAAACCGTCTGGATATCCAAATTATCACCAAAATCCTGAAAAATAACACAGTTATTTTACCACTTTCTGATGCAATTTTATAATTGCTACAATTTTGGTTGCATTGTATCTTTTCTTCAAATGACATTTAAATAGCATTTTCTATAGAAGGAACAGGAAGATAATAGTGTTCCCTGAGCATGTTTGATTAAAATTTGATTTGTGTTACTGATAGATTAGAAACATTTATTTCACCTCGGCAACCATCTCTTGGTGATGTCATGCAAATGTTAGAGGTTTTGTCAAATTAGGAAAGACCTTTTTAGATTTTGTTTTGTATATAAACTTTCCAATTTTAGATACTTGAGATTTTCTTAGGCAGTATCTAATCTGGAGTGTTATTTGACCTGATAACGTGCTCTCAGCGATATACTGCATTAAACAATGCAAATCATTCATTCAACAATCCATTGTGTTTTTACCATAGTAGCTGTAAGGTCTGTCTCAAAGGCCTGGTAGGCTGTTAGTGAGCGCACCCGTCCCTGAGCTCTGTTCGCATGCGTCCAAGGGCAGGACGAGGGCCAGGGATGCGTCACTCTGCCCCTGGCTCCAACTGCTCTCTGTAGTGGTGCCAGGATTTGGGAAGCTAACTGACCCACATTTCTGAACTTGTTGACTCTGTGGGAGCCCCTTTGACCCCCTGCAGGCCCGGCCCCTCTTCTTGTCTGACGAAGAAGTGAAACTCTTGAGTGGCCCTGGCTTGTGAGCCTCATGGCCCCACACTGAGTTCTAAGGACCAGGCTCAGAACTTGAGTGCTTGGTGATGCGCTGCCAGGTGCCCAGCCCAGGGCTAAGTGGGGACTCACGCAGCAGGCTGACACTGAACAGATGGAATCCTGGAAGGAGAGGGGTGCTGGCCTCACCTTCCTTCACAGCCACTGAGCCTTGTCCCAGCCAGTAGCTGCTTTCTGTTGTGCTCCACAAGTCAGGATCAGACTTGGTTAAGGTCTAGGAGAGTTTGATGTAAACAGAGGGGCTGCTGCCTGCCTTGCCCTCCCTCCCTGTAGGAGCTTGAATGGGTAGAGCAGCCACGCCATCATCAGTGACTGGACACCTGGGGTCCTGAGAATGACTGCAGCTGGGTGCCCACTGGCCTGTGATCTGTGATCTGGCAGTGTGGCTCAGCTGGGAGGATGCAGAGTCTGTGAGGCTGAGGCCTATGTGGCTGAGTCCAAGGATTCAGCTTCTGATGAGTTTCCAGTGCCCTTAGGCCACATTTTGCCTTTAATGCAGGAGAATTCAGTGCTGATAATCTGACCACTAGTGTTTGCTGCCAGCTACAATGTGCTAGGTGCCCTGCCTAGCTCCAGACACGGTATTCTCACTGCTGCCTGTTAGGTAGAAAAGACTCAGAGGTCAGAGACCCGTGTGGAGTGGCCATCAGAGCTGGTTGGCTGGAAGTGTGTATTCAGATCTGATCCTACTGTGCCCAGAGACTGGAAAGCAATAGTTAGGTGGTCCTGGTGTCTGAAACTGGGGGGGGATGCAGCCAGAGAATGAGGGGGCTGTTTCCCATCATGCCGGTGCCTGCTGGGGAACCAAGAGCAGCTAGAGGCAAGCCTGCTCCTGGTGACAGATTACCTGGAGTCAAGTGCAGAGATATCTAACTGGCCTGCTCCACACAGGCTGGGGGTTGGGGGTTGGGGCAAGAGACTCAGAAGGTATGTCTGTAACCACTGAGCTCATATCCTCCTTCAGACTGGCTTAGAGCCAACCCTGCCCTGGGGCTCTGCCTTCTTTCCCTTCTCACCGGTTGTGTGCCTTGGCACATCTGGGAAGACACTTGTAGAGGTACTATCCCTGTCTCCAGCCCTCAGCAGTGTCTTGTTTACCTGCTCTGTTCACCCAGCTTAACAGACACACTTCTGGTACCTCCAACTCAGATACAAGCTGCTCTTTGCTCTTTGTAAGTCTGTCTTTGAAGGCATGTGAGTGAAGGTCAGCAATTAGGGCTAAATTCAGGAGACTGGAGCTGTGTTGGTCATTCAATGCTTTGTCCAGGATTTCTCCAGGACCTGGCACAGGCCCGGGCTCCACACCTGTTTGATGTCACATGGAAGCCAGATGAGGACCACAGGGCAGTGTTAGCCCATGTATCCCAGGACGCAAGAGCCAAATGCACCCTGTTCCGGGCAGCCAGATTCAGGGGAGACGGTTAGCATGTTCTGGGCGGGCAGTCTATCAGTTTCCTGGGATTGCTGTAACACAGCCCCATGAACCTGGAAGTTTAAAAGAACAAAACTATATTCCATCACAGTGCAGGAGTCTAGAAGTCCAACATCAAGGTGTTGAAGGGTCAGGGAAGGACCTTTGCCTTCTCCTTGCTTCTGGTGGCTCCTGGCCGTCCTCAGTGTTCCTGGGTTGTAGCCTAATCATTCAAATCACTGCCTCTGTCTCCATGTCTCCAAATGGCCTTCTCCCTGTGTGTCTCTGTGACCTCTCCTCTTCTTATAAAAACACCAATCCAGCATGGCCTCATCATAATTTGATTATATGTACAAAGACTGTATTCCAAATGAGATCAGGGTAGGCATGACTGGGGGGGAGCACTGTTCAACCCTACAGGTGGATCACAGAGCTGACTCTAGTTTCCTGTGGCCAATATGTCATGGAGGGAGATCTGACCTACATCCGAAAATCCTTTTATCTCTAGCACTTCGGCAAGTGTCTTCGCTCCTTTGAGCCTCAGTATCTCCATCTGTCCAGTGGGGATGATGTCATCTGCCTGCCCCACCTCCCAGGGCTCCTAGGAGGATCAAATAAATGGTGTGTGGACAGCTCTGTGCAGACGATAAGGTGACCTTCCAGGGGGCATACACATGGCATGCGCATGCCTGTTCTTGGGCCTGACCTCCTCCTCTCTCCTTGCTAGGATCACTGCTTTTACCATGGGACGGTGAGGAAGGCCCCACAGTCCAGTGTCACACTGAGCACCTGCCGGGGAATGAGGTAAGAGGCCCTAGAGGTCCTGGGGGGCCCTGGCACACTCCCCAGGAATGGCATGTTCGGGACCAGCAGTGCTGGCCATGGACAATGATCTTGGGAAGCTGTCCATTGAGATAGCTCCGAGATGGGCTGAGCTTGGGAGGGCCAGGGAAATCCTCAATGACCCACTAATTTCCTGAGACAAAACTTTCTCTTTCCTGGGGAACTCGAGGTTTTGTTATTATTTAGGTTTGGTGAAGTCAACAGGTCAGGAGACAACTGCCATTAAAAAGTGTGTTATACTCAAAATCCCAAGAGTGGGGGGTACACCAGGCTTGTGGGGGGGAGGGGAACAACACATGAGGGAGCAGAGAATACGGGCAAGACCCTCTACTGTGGTTCCGCAGGAAGGAACAGGTGGACAGAGACAGGCCCAGGATTGGCTGCTTTGAATCATTTCAGGGGCTCTGGGGCAAAGGGGTTGTCCCCAGCTGTCTGGTAACTGGTACCAGGGTGAACAGGGCAGGAAGATAGTGGCCCATAGGGCAAGAGCCACTAGTGAAAGGGTTGCTCAGCAGCTAGTCATTTGCATGTCTCAGAATTGGCTCACTTTGCAAGAAGGGCTCCTAATGTCAAAGCCTCAGAATACCAAAAATCAGACATGGTTTATGTGCTGGAAGTGGATGAGACTGAGCATTTATTCTGCTTCCCCTGTGCTCGTTTCTGAACCTACTTGGTGGTGGGGAGACAGGAAATGGGCAACCATCGAAAAGAGAGCCAAGAAGAAAAAGACGCAAGGATGATTTTCAAGATAGAAAATTAACTGGAAAGGATGCATATTACAAAGGAAGTGTCCCTACATCCTCTGAGCATGGCTGCCTGAGTAGAGACCACTGTGACAGTCTCAGTGGCCCACTTGTAAAATGTAACTAGGAAGATTCTACGGCAGTCTCCTGAGGGTTGAATGTGTTATTAGGTAGCTAGGTTAGAACCGGCTGGCACATTGTAGCACTTTCTGGACCTTGCTTCCTAGGTGAGTTCATGGGAGGGATGGCATTGACATCACCTGGAGCTTGTGTCCCATTGCGCCATAATCTGCACTTTTCCAAGACCTCCAGGTGATTCATGGACCCCTCACAGTTTGTTCCTGAGAATGTTCCTTGAGAATGTAAATTATTTCTCCAATATCTCATTCTCTCCTGCAGTCATACGAGTGCCTTGCATAGGGTGGGATCTCTTCATGCTGGTGGAAATAATAGCAATTATTATCATATCATTGTTATCATAATAGAAATAGAAGTGTTATTGTTATAAAAATTATGGCTTTATTTAGATACTTCCCATTCTCTTTCCTTTGGAAAAGAGTCGAAGATCTGAAAAATTTATGTTCTAGTTACCTTCACGTGTGTCACTTAGACCCTGTACTGACTGGCTCTGTGAGCAAAAGCCCTGATCTGCAGCCAATATGTCGGTAAAGATCCTCCAGACCAGTTTCATGCTACCACGGTCCCATCACTGAAGGCAGAATTGGGAATGCGTGCCCCACAAGACTCTCAGGAGGTGATTCCTCTGTGTGTCTGTTGCTATCAGTTGGCTGATTCATTGAATGTTTGTTTCATTCAGCAAATCAGTATGTAGTACCATTTGTATTCCCGGGGGAGGCAGGCCCTGAGAAGTAATCTGCTTAGCCCACCGTTTCCCCATCTGGACAGCAGGCATCGGGGTGGGCATGGTAGCGACCTGTTGGGGCTGTGTTAACGCCTTGACTCTCTGCAAACATGTGGGATTGTCATCATCTCACACCATGAAGCCTTGCTGGGACTCACCCGGCCTCGCATGCACATTCAAGACCCCTCTCCTGCTGAGTCCACGTGTCTGTTTATACATCAGGTCTTGTCTATGTAAGGCTTCGTGGTGAGTTGGCCGCAGGGAATTAGGCAGGAAATGAGCTTTGGCTGGAAGGCGACATCCATGGCCCCAAATCCCCTGCTCAAGTAGGCTGGTTGAGCCAACTGGTCTCCTGGCAGTGTTTCCAGGCCTGGCCACGGCCACCTGCGGCCTGCAAGTAAACAATATCTGTCCCAAGAAGGAGGAAAGGGGACATGCAGGTGTGACTTGCTGTTCTGTCTCCTCGCCCTCCTCTCAGCTGGAGCACTGGGAACTTGGCTCGGCTTCTCGTAAATCATTCCCGCAGCCGTGCTGACAGGGGAAAACCGGGGGAGCCACCCATGTGTTTCTGTTTTGCACGTGTCCCTTGGATAGGGTCCACCTGGCTTCCCAACTTTCTCACCATACACCTTAGAAACCGGGGGTGTCTGTGGGCCAGATGCGTTTAAGAGCTGGACACGCAGGCAGAGGGCTCAGCTCAGATTTTCAAAGGAGCCGCTGCAGGAGTAGAAGCCACCAAACCCTGGTAACACTCGACTTGCTCTGCAAGGCTCATCAAGACGGGCTGCAATGGAAAATCTCCATAGTGATCGTGCTTCTTTCCTGGTATTTGCTTGCTCCTGTGCTTAGGGAATGAAAAAGGATTTATACTAACCGGGGCTTTGGACAAATGATGCAGATACAGGAAATTAGATGAGTCTCTAGAAGGTCACTGAGTTCTCTCTTCTCTCCATAGTGGTCCTTCGCGTTGCTTTAACTGTAAATGTATGATGTGGTCATGGTAAAAATAAATCCAAACAGTGCCAAAGAATGCCATGAAACCTAGGTCTCTGTGGCGCCCTGTTTTCCCAGTATCCTTCTTCCCTGGAACCAGCCTAGTTACTGGTTTCTTGTGTAGTCTTTTAGAATTATTCCCAGCTAAGTAATAATAATAATAATAATAATATAGATTTGTAATAGAGTGCTTTGTGATCTTTTTTGGGCCACTCACTCCTTTTGAGAATTCTGTGGCAGCTTAGGGATGTCGTCCATGCCCACCAGGCCTGTCTCCATTCAGGACTCACCCTCTGAATGTCTACATGACTTCTTTTAGTTCTTTCTTAGGTCCTTGGAGGACAAGTGTCTGACAGTCTTGCAAGTGTTAATTGCCTGTCTGGTCTGCCCTGCCAGGCCTCCCCTGGACAGTTTCATTTTTAGCAAGCTCTTAACAATGCAAAATAGGCTGGAGAGCAGAATGGAGAGGGGCACGTGGGGCCCGGCCATGCCCCTGGCTAAGCTCTACCTGTGCTAACATTTGGCAAATTAGATGAGCTGAGGAACAAGCATCCGGGGTGCTCCAGAGAGGACAACTAGCAGGACGTGGAAGTGATGATGGAGCAGGGCCAGAACCAGATTCTCAGGAATCTCCCCACTGTCAAAGCTAACAGTTCACTGTGCCTCTCCCTTCCGTCCCTCCTCTGGGAGGGTCACAGCTGGGACCACAGAATCCAGTTGCTGGAAGGACTGTCGGTGTTTCTCCAATGACCATCCACCTGCTCCCTGAAACAGAATTGCTTGGGGCTTTATGAAAAGTCAGAGACTGGGCCCCAGGGTGGAGTCTGAGTCTTAACAAAACTGACTTGGAACAGAATCCAAGTTGCCTGTGTCTGTATTTTACCATACTCTTGAATATTCTAATAGATGCCTCTGGGAGCTCTGACCCACAAGAGCTCTGACCTAATGGTTTGTCCCTTACTGATGGAGGCAGAAAGCAGAGCGGTGTAGGGCGTGGAGTCTAGAGCTGGCCAGACCTTACACCTCAGGCCCCAGATTACCCAGGAGAGCTTGTTGTTTCTTCCCTCAGGGGCTCAGTTTCTTACCTATAAAATGGGATCCATGAGTGTGCCTTATAGTGTTAATGTGGGAGTGAAATATAGTGTCAATGTGGGAGTGTGCCTTATAGTATTAATGTGGGAGTGGCTATATACATGGCTAAAGAAAAATTGAGAAGTAGGCTCAGTATCTCCTGGGTTCTGTCTCCTGGTAGACTGGAGTCTTCAGGCAGGCCTGGAGGGAAACTGCCAGTCCCACCTCACAGTCATTGGTGCCTCTCCTTTTGATCATCTTTAAACCAGAAGCATCTTCCTGACATTCTTTACAGACCCACAGGGACTGAGGCAGCTTGAGAGCATGAGACCTGGACCCAGACTACATAGATTCCAATCCTGGTCTTCCTCTTGCATCCTGTGAGGCTCTGGGTCAGTGACTTTACCTCACTGAGCCTTAGTTTTCACCTCTGTGCAATGAAGATAACATGTGTGAGGATGGCAGAGGGTGGCATGGATAATAAATTGCCTAGCACGGAGCCTGATGCATAGCAGAATCACCATCATTTATAGTCAACATGGTGACTGATTCCTCGAACACCTGACTTTGGTATGGGCCCTGTCCCTCTTTGGCTCCAAGCTTGATTAAGTGATGTCCGGTCAACTACTCTGGAACTTACCAACCCCAGGGTGTTATCACTGCAACCACAGCCTGGTGCAGCAAAACCATAATTGGTTTGTGTCTAGTCCTGTGTGTTTACAACGTTTATAGCCATTAGGGGAAACTGAGGTGACGGGGTGGGTGGGGAGGGGTCCCTGGAGCCAAGAAGAGGAGGTGGCTTGGGAACAGGATGCCTGCAGCTGTGTGTTGCCCCTGCCCTTTCCTGTCTGGACTTGTGGGTGGATATGACCCTTGATCTTTACCTCACTCCAAGCCCAGCGATGTGGGGAGCACGTCGGGTGTCTGGCTGTGGGACTGGCCGTGGATGACTGTCAGCAGTGAGGTCGCTGGGAGGTTATCAGGCTCCTTGGTACCAGAATGAGATCAGCCCCAGGCGTGGATTCCAGGAAGGGCTGCAGCTGATTAGAACTGGAGCTGGCTCTCCCGGGAACATCACAGGCTCCTCCTGAAGGGAGAAACCTGGGCTTGCCTCCCCAAGGCCTGGGACCCAGAATGGATGCTAAGGGCCCAAGACAGAAGTCCTGCCAATTTGGAGTGTTGAATCAGATTCCAAGATTAACTTTTGAGCTTTCTGAATTGGGGAAAGGCTGAAGTTTGAGGCACAAAGTGCTGTTGGAGCCTCCGGACTCACTGCTGGCCTTCTTTCTCTATTGTGTTCGTCACTCTGAGTGAGGAATGACCAGTGCCTGTTCCACGGGCCTGCTCTCATCGTCCGTTGGTGACTGTGACAGTGATGGATGACAAGCGGACTCAGCGAGTCCGGCTTCAGCCTTGGGAAGCCCTCCTGACACTCCTGGAGGCACAGTTGTGCATCTATGTCAGGCCCATGAATCCTTCCTGCTGTCTCTGTTGTACACTATAGTGTTTTATTCCCAGGTTCTGACTCTAAGCTTCATGAGGGCAGGCACTTTTCTGTCTTGTTCACTACTCTACCCTCAGTGACCATCAAGATTCCCTGGCAACAGCAAGTGCTCAGGACATGTTTGTGGAGTAAATGAGAAATGACTGTGGCTGCTAAGCAGTGAACTAGTGACGACAGGGATTATGTCTAACTTAGTATAGGCTGAGGGCCCAGCCAGTGAAAGAAAGCAAGGGACGGACTCCCAACGTTATTCTGAGGTCCATGCTGGCCTCTCTCCAAGAGGAAGGAGCCGCCAAGGTGCTGGCTTGTGGGTGTCACCTCAGAGCTGCCTTGCTTACTGGGGAGGCTGGGGTGCTGCCGTGCTGCCTTGAGCATTGGATTCCAAGTTCAAAGACGAACTGCCTTTTCACTTCACTGTCTAAGAGTCATCTTAAGTTGGTAAATTATCATTTATATTACACATGGGGAAACTGTGGCTCAGATTTGTTTTTAAGAGGATTGTTAAAGTGTATTTGACTATGGAATGTAGAAGCCAAGACCAGAAGCTCACCCCTAAACTGGCTCTTTCTCCCAGCATATACATCTCTGAGTCTAAAATGTTTCCACCTGTGATTTGTCTGATGTCACATTTGGGTTTGGGAGGCTTTTTGGAATCAGGATCCCACCATCCTTTAAGTATCATACATAGTCTAGCTGTTTTTAGAACAGAGAGGACTGGGCCTCATTTAGAAAAACTGCTGAACTTGTCTGTGCTAAGCTTTCGGTACCCTGAAATTGGGCATTGCCTCCTAAGCCTGTGCACTTTTCTGGGGAGGAAGTCTGAGTGGGCACTGGTTTCTCACGAAGGGACACACAACCCCATCGTAAGGTTAGAACCAGTGATCAAAACCAGCTGTGTCTCTTGGCCATGGGGGATGCTGAGGCCTGAGCAAGGGACTCTTCCAGGACCATCATCTTTGACCAGAGTTCTGTTTCTTCTGTCAACAGAGGGCTGATCATGGTGAGCGGTAACCTCAGCTATATCATCGAGCCCCTCCCAGGCAGCGAGGACTACCACCTCATTTACAGATCTGAACATCTCCAGCTACCCCCGGGGAACTGTGGGTTCCAGCATCCCAATCCCACTGCCAGGGACTGGGTCCTTCAGTTTGCCAACCAGACCAAGCATCAGCCTCGCAGGGTGAGTTTCTCAGTACAGGAGAAAACCTGGGGATGGGCCTGTCCTCCCCTGCACTCCACTCCTCTGGAACCCTTGCTTTGCATCCAGGAGTATTTCCAAGTGGCAGGGGCATGGCTCAGGAGGATGTAGCCCATTTTCTTCTGAATCATGACTGAATGTGAGACTACCTCACTTTGATAACGCAATTGCTTTGGGGAGAAACATTACATATTAAAATATGCTGAGATGCTGATTTTAGAAACTTTTAAAATGTGAGGAGAGACTATATGCCTCCCCTCTTAGAACCCCACTTATCTACACAAAGGGGATGCTTGTCTTTGTGTCCCAAAATTAGAGGAGTGTGGTGGAAATGTTTGGGGGACCTTGTTTTTCTCACATATTGGCCCCTGTTCTGCCTCTGCTCATCAGCCCTGCTCATGTATTTTGGAGAAGCGACTGCACCCAGAGTCCCAGAGCTGGATGACCAGGATGATGGGCAGAGGAGCACAGCGGGAGGTGCCCACTCTGGCCAGCCCAGGGCTCAGGGACAGAACTAGGGCTATAGCCCACGGCTCACCATATGGCGCCATTAGCAGCTTTTCTAAATGAGACCCAGTCCACTCTTTCTATAATTCTGATCTGCCTCTATCTCTTTCTTAGATGAAAAGGGAAGATTTACACTCCATGAAGTTCGTGGAGCTTTACCTTGTGGCTGACTACGCAGAGGTAAGGGGGTGGCAGTGAGTATTAATGGTGTCCATCCTAGGCCTCCAGCCTCCTGGGGGAAACACCGGACCAGGCGTTACATGACTCTGACCTTACACCTGCAGGGCCTTTTTCTGCTTGTGTAAATGTAGGTGGGCAGGGGTGGGGCAACGAAAAATCTCTTCTAGCTCAATACATTATCAGATGGGAAATCAGGACAATAAATGATCATCTGGATTAGTATTTCTTACACTGGGTCTGAGGACCTTTAAGTTTTGGTGCTTATTTACAGGGATCTGTGAATTCTCTGTAGAAATCTTTTTTTAAAAAAGTTCTTTGCAAAAAATAGCAAGTGTCTTCTCACTCATCAGATGGAATGCAATTTTCTTGCCCATGTTTATAATCATGATGCATATGAGGCCCTGAAGCCCTGGTTACCTAACTCTGGGCTCCAGAGCAACAGTGTCAGTAGCTCCCAGGAACCTGTGAAAATGCAGATTCTGTGGTCATATCCCAGGTTCTACTGAACCCCAAACTGTGGGACTGGGGCCCAACGATCCATATTTTAATAAGCCTCCTGATATGTAGATCGTTTTGAGAGCAATCCAACTAAAGGACTAGCTGGTTAGCCTTTATTTCCATATTTCTTATATCAGACAGGCTCAGAGTGCCTTGGCTTCTAAGATTTGGTGAACACTCCCCTCTTTCACTCTTTGATTTCATTTATTCATGCACACAATTTCTTGATTTTCTGTTACTGTGCCCAGTGCAGTGCTTGGCACCAAGAGATTTAGCTCTGAATAAGATAGCCCCACCACATCACAGAGCTGACAATAACTGCACAAAAACCCCATGGTTCCACGTGGAGTAACTGCTCAGATGTACCAGGGCTTGGAGGCTGGTAATGGGGACAGCAACGTGGCTTTAGGATTGGGGACAGTGTCTCTGAGCCATGATGTTCACCCATATTTGTCCAGATTAGCCATATTTGACCTTTCCTTTCCACTTCACACACAGACTCAGCAGCGCAGCTGAGCACATTTCTTGCGCATGGAAGGTGAAGGTGGGCTGTCTGTCGGCAAATGTGCTAACACTGCCTGCCGGACTGGGGCTCCCTTAGGACAGGACTCACCATAGCTACGTGTCATCTGGAAGGTTCAGTCACCAGCTCCCTTAAAGGCCTTATTCAGCACAGCTCTCTGCTCTCCCCGGCTGCTGTCCCAAAGCAGTGCAGGGTGGTGGGGACAGCTCTAGGCCATAGCCGGGAAGAGATTCCTCTGAGTGTTAGCTGCAGGCGGCTGTGGCCCTCCGGCTGTCTTCAAGGACAAGGAGTTGTTAACTGGGCAGAGAAGTAGAGGTGAAGGGCACTTCTCGCCGAGGGAACGAACGTTATGTTCACTTTGAGGAGAGTTTTGCTCTTTAATTGAGGTCAGTATTGGTTTTTCCAGCAGCCCTTTTTTTTTTCCCTTTTCTTTTGTTCTCCTTTCCAAAGACTGGTGTGTGTGTGTGTGTGTGTGTGTGTGTGTGTGTGGTGTGTCTAGGGTGGGGGAGTGATCTTAGGAGCAAAATCCAAGCTGAGTTAGAAATTGAGGCCCCAGGACTGTGGGAGAAAGTAACATTACAGCCCCTGCCCAATAGTACTGCCCAAAGAGGGGGTACTGGGAGGAAGCTGGGGCTGCCCACTCCAGGACAGTTTTCCTTTTAAGCTTTGTATTCTTGATCGCCTGACACAGTGTTCTGTAGTCATTCTTTTTTTCGACCATAGATTCCTTTGTTTAGACAAAAGCTCCTGGGACCCCACTAGTTAAGTATATAGAAATATGGTTACTCTAGGGCCTCCCCGGTGGCGCAGCGGTTGAGTGCAGGGCTGCAAAGCTGCCGCAGCCTCTGCAGCGCCGGTTCGCTCCCCGGCTGGCGAGGGTCCCACATGACGCGCAGACCTCTCCTACTGCCCACTGCTCCCCTCAGCAGTGTACTTCGGTCCTTCTGCTTCGGTCCTTCTGTACTGCTCCCCGCTCTGGCTCTGGTGGATTCTCTCACCCTCCCGCGCTTCTGACTGTACCCAGTGCTTGTATAAATAAATAAATAAATCTTTAAAAAAAAAAAAAGAAATATGGTTACTCTAATGCAAATTGGGGTGCTCCTCCCTTAAGGCTTGCAGTCCCCCGGCAGAATTTTGAGGCCTGGATTTAAACCCACTGGTGTGAGTCTGGAAACTGGAGAAGAGGGGGCAGGGAGAGAGATTGTGTCTCCTCAGCTTCCTGATCCCAAGGTCACAGCAAGCTCCCTAGAGGACAAGGTGCCTCCAAGGACTGCAGTGTCACCTAAAGCTTGGTCCTGTTATGGGGGGAGAGTGATTTATGCAGCCACGTTGGATGGGAGACAGGTGGGGAGGGTGGACAGACAAGCACTGAGGATGGGGAACATGCTCATTTCTCAGGGGCTCTGCTGAAGGCTGGGAATGATTCATGATTCCTGGGAGGGGAAGGAGGACTTGTCACCCCGGGGGATGGGCTCCCAGGCTCAGGCTCCCGCCCCTCCCCACCTCTCCCCATCCCGTCCTCCAGGGGCTGCATCCTCTGCAGGCAGAAATGTCTTCCTGACAATTAATTAATCTAAGAGGGTGTGCAGACCAGGAGGGGAGGGCCAGGCTGCCTTGTCTGATTTATACCCTGGAGTGAGACAGGACAGGCGGCTCGTCTGGGCTCTCACGTGGACGGTGGTGTTGTCTGCAGAGTTGTCAGAAAATGTGACAGGGCTTTGCTTCATTATTCCTTGGGACCCAGGGGGACAGCGAGGTGGCTAGTTGTAGGAGGGACCAGGAAAACTGTCGAAGGGGCATGCAAAGGACTTTCGTGAGGGACTCCCCTGGTAGCGCAGGTGGTTGAGCTCAGAGCTGTGAAGCTGTCCGCAGCCTCTGCAGCGCTGGACATGGCGCAGCAGACCTCTCCCGTCTCAACCTGCTGCTCCCCTCAGCAGTGTATTTTGTCAGTCTGGCTGTTCTGTTCCCCGCTCTGTCTGGTGAATCCTCTCACCCTCCCGCGCGTCTGGCCTGTATCCTGGTTCTTGTATAAATAAATCTTTAAAAAAAAAAAGGATTTTTGTGATACTGACAGCAGGTGGGATATGGGAGGCCAGGAGATGCACCACATACTTCCTGTGCCTGGAAAGTAGAAAGCTGAAACTGCTTCACATCAGAGGTCTGTACCCCCCAGCTTGCAGCCAAGTCCAGCCATCATGTGTTTTGTCAATAAGGTTTCACCAGACACATCCATGCCAGCTGGTGTGTGTCTTATACGTGACTGCTTTGGAGCCCTGGGGTGGCGACAGAGCCAATATGGCCACAGAGCCTGAGATAGTACAGCCTGAGCAGTACAGAAAGTTTGACAGCTCCTGCGTCAGACTTGTCAGGATAACATGCTACGTTCCTTCAACAGTGTTGGTATTATAGTAGTCTTTTGAAGATGGGAATAAGATATTTGAAAGATCACGCATCTGACTCTGAAGTTCTGACAGTCACTAAATACAGCACTACTTTCTGTGGTGAGGGCTATTTAGAGAAGGGGTGACTGTATAACGAACCATTTCAGGATTATACCAGGGGAGGGTCAAGGTCACAGCACCTCGCATTGACTAACTGTAGAAAGCTGTGGTGACAGGGAGAAGATCTGGGGAGTGGGGGCCCCGGGAAGCCCAGGGATTCCAAAAGCAGTAAGATGGGGCAGTGGTGAGTTTTTCCCTTGTGCCAGGGCTTGAACACACCCCCTCCCCAACAAATACTCCAACAGCTGCTCCTTTTATCTTTCACCTGGATATTCTCGTGGGATGGGGTAGAGGGAGACACAAAGGTTTAGAATTGAAGTAACATGTGTGCTATGTGCCCAGGGTAAATCAAATAGATACCCAGCTTTGGTGGCACCATGGCAAGCACAGGCATCCCCGCCACTGGTGAATTTCAGTTGCAGTGGTGGCAGGTTTTACCTTCGCGTGATTAGGCTCTCCTCCATCACTGCAGCTGAATGGAGGCAGCCAGACAGACCTCTCTCCTGTTCCCTGGCAGACATTGCTAATCAAGCACAGCACTCTCTGCTGCTGAGCCCCATGAGCTGACTCCCCCAAACCCCAGCCCTCCTCCCTGGAACACATGGCCTGTCCACCTGGGAGGTCCTTGTCACCAGCACCCCATCTGTGGCATCCTCCTGGCTGCCCATCACTGTTATTTCCGCGCCTGTGTTCTCAGCCTGTTTCTGTTGTAGATGCCTTACAAATCAGAATCAACCCCTGTTGTGACTCTGGTCCTCTCTCTGCTTTTCTTGACATTCCTCTGGCTCAGACCAGGAACTCACTCTTTTGGGTGTGCTGCCTTGCACACAATAGGGGCTCAGCAACAATTACCCAGAGTTGAATGATCCATGGAGGGGTGTCATGTGAGGAGGTTCATGTTGTAGTGATGGCCAGGATGGACAGGTCCCTCTTCTGAGCTCCAGTGGGAGTTTGCGGGAGGCCTTATAATTCGAGGAGAGGCTGGAGGCAGACAGTTCAATGCACTACATAATGATGGCATGCCCACATGTGCCCAACACGGAGCCAGTGATTGGGGGTAGTGGGATGGGTGTGACCCAGGATCTGCTAAAAGATAGAAAGTGATGAAGACAGGAGGGAAGGGCTCCGGGGCCTTACCTCAGTCTGCTTGTTCCATTTAGTTTCAGAAGAATCGACGAGACCAGGATGCCACCAAACATAAGCTCATGGAGATCGCCAATTATGTTGATAAGGTGAGACCAGGTGTGTACTTGTGGGAAGGTGCAGGCACCTTTGTGGGGTGCAGAAAAGGATAACACATGGTCCCTGAACTGCTCTGTCTGCATTGGCTGCCCAACCCGATCCTGAGCGGTGACAGCAATGCAATGACAGTTCCAAGGGCATGACGAAGCCTTAAACTGTATGACCTTGGGCAAGTAAGTCTCCTTTGGGTTGCAATTTTGCTTTTAAATTTTCAAAATAGAGGGGTTGACCTAAAATCAATGGCTTCTGGTTATTTTTATTTTCTTCGTGGAATAAATTTTTAAAAGGAAATCTCATGCCAACATCCGATCTGAAAGTCAGATGAAAACAGACTAAGCTGAAGCACAGGGGTGGGGACCCGGGCTGCTGTCTTTCTACCTCTCCTGCATCCCTGCCATGGCAGACCTGCAGGAGCCCCGTTTAAGAGGTCCTTTCTAAGTATAGAGACAGGGACTCTCCGCCCTGGGAGAACTGAGCTTCGCAGCACCACGGAAAAGGACAGCCTTTAAAGCTGAGAGGTGGTTTGGGGCCAGCCTGTACCCTCTCCATCTGAGGAAGGCTGTATAGGGGTCAGGCCCTTTGATACCATGTTCTTAGAAAACACCCAAATTCCTGAATTTTACTTGAATAGACTGTGGAGGGACTTGGGACTATTCTGTTTATATGAGAAGAGGTAGAATGCAGTAGAATAGGTGGCTCAGAATGATAACGCCCCCTTTTTTGTCTTTACTTTGTCATGGCATTTAGCCTTTTGACTGGCTGGTTGTTTATTGGTTCAAAAAGTAGATTTTATTATTTATCTGTTTATTTATTTATTTTAATAGGAGGAAAGGCCAAGTTTAATTACATAGATATGGAAAATGTACATGATTAAATCCTTTTTTGTTTGTCTTTGTTTTCTCTCTTTTTTTTTTTTTAATTACACAGTATAGGATGTAGGGGTGCAGATTCACACCTCCTTAAATGTTGTTACCACGTCATGCTGAGCACCAGAGCACCCATAACCCTCCACCACAGCTCATTGGGCCCCTCCTCCCTTTCCCCATTTCTCTCTTAAAACATAGATTTTAGTGTTTTGAAGGATCTCTAATAACATTTATTGTACAATTTCAGCATACTAAAAACTCCTGCAACTTAACTCTGGTCCTGCTACAGAGTCCTGCATCCTAGGTCTAAAGAGAAAATCTTTTTTTTTTTTTTTCCCCTAAACATTGGGGATAGAGAGAACTTCATTTTTTTTTTTTTTAGGGATTTACAAGTAAATTTGGTCATGTTCTGCAGTCATCAGGTGTCAGGGTCTGCACCCCATGTTTTTGACCTGTCCTGGTGGCCTTGGCAATGCCAGTTGGGGACAGGTGGCAGGAGAAAGTCAAACACTGGCACTTTGAGGAAGGAAGGGCTCCAGGGGCACAGTCCAACCCTCCATGTTCTCCACTCACTCAGCAATAACATCCAAATGATTCTACAACCCAAACACTCAACATCTGGGAAAACAAGAAAAGCTCTTTTTCCGGGAGGCCGTGAGGGGGGCGTAGAGGGGACAGGAGGCAGACTTGCTTTCACCACGTGACAGCCATTGTTCTGGAAACCAGGAGGTGGAAGGCTTGGCTGGGTCTCCCAGTGTGACCCCCTCCACTGTCCGGATGCCAAAACTAAGGGTGCTGATGAAAAACCAAAGAAGAAAGGTGTCAGCAAACACCAGTCCTCATGGGGAACCCCGCCTGCTGGCTCGTGGGTGCGGTGAAGTAAAGTGTTGGCTGGTGTGGGTCACTCTTGGCTGGGGCAAGGGAAGGCAGCCCCACTTTTGGAGGCTTGCTGACCCAGCTGTTTGAACTGAACTGATGTTGAACTAAAACTGGAATGAACTGCACTAAATTGCTGAATCATGACCTTGATCCAAAGTGCTTTTCCTTAACTGTGCAAAATGCCAAGTTTAAGTCCTTCCTTACAAAGTTCCCTAGTGAAGCAAGTTCAAATGTGGGCCCAAGCCCCCATAACTTCTGTAAAAATTGACCTGCACCAAACAGGAAAATCAGAATTTCCCATGACATCCCTGAATCTTAAGCCATCTCCCCACACATTCCTTGGGGCAAGTTGACTGGATGTGTCAATCCTCCAGTGCTAAGCAGTGTGGGGCACGGACGACCACCTGGCCTTGGTCTTCCTGCTGAGCCGGGCAGGCTGCTTCGCTCTGTCTGCCTGAGTGCCTGGTACACAGTGAGTGCTTCCCAACACCTAGACTCTTTGGGACACAGGAACCCCTTTGACCTTGTTCCACGCAAACGCCCCTTCTGCATCTGGGTGCTAGTTTGTGCCCATGTTGGTTTCGTTCCTCTTAGTCCAGGCTCCCAGCTCTGCCCCAGGAGGCTGTGCGTCCCTCTCAGGACACCCCCCCTCTGAAAAGTTGAACTAGGAACCCCTGTGCCCCATCCTTAGGGAACCTGTGCCTTCATAAGGGAAGCTGGTTTTGGCTCTGAGCACTGAGGTGCAGAGGGGGCTTGGAAGTGTCAGGTGGGGTGATGGATGACTCTGGGCCTTTTCTGTGTGTCTTTCAGTTCTACCGGTCCTTGAACATCCGGATTGCTCTGGTGGGCTTGGAAGTGTGGACACATGGGAACATGTGTGAAGTTTCTGAGAACCCCTATTCCACCCTCTGGTCGTTTCTTAGCTGGAGGCGCAAGCTGCTTGCCCAGAAGAACCACGACAATGCGCAGTTAATCACGTAAGTGACCTTTCTACCTGGTGGCCTTGGCCATCCAACCCCAACCTGGGTGCAGTGCCAGACCATCCCTCTGCTTCTCTTTCTGGTGGCATGTGCTGGCTGTACTAGGCTGTCCTAACGATCGGGCCAGATAATCACATATTTCTCAGCACACACTAGGAAACATGAACAAGTCTGAATCATAACAACACAGAGAAGTGTCTACGAAGTAGATGAGACGGTCAGACTCTCGGCTGTCCTGGCGAGCATCCGACATGACTGCATGTGTGCTTGGGGAAGGGCCGCTGGTCACAGGCCGCTGGGAGACAGGCTTTCTAGGAGTTCATCTGGATCTGGGCTCTATTCTACTACATGAGCCAGTGTCCCACACAGGCAGCCTTCAGGGAGGGGTCCCTTAGGTTTTCGCTCACTTGGTTGCTGGGATCAGGGCTGAGTACCTGAGAAAGTCAGAGGGGCCCTGATGCAGGAGCCTGGTGTCGGTGTGATGGAGATGTTGGCAAGCAGGTTTGTACTGGAGTTTCTTCAGTCCTGGACAGAACTAACAATGATGGGGGTCATGGTGGTAGGTGACAGTCCCCCAACGGCTATTTATTAGTATTGCCTTCCAAAGTTATTTGGAGGCACTTACACAAAAGACACGTGGACAATAAAACCAGCTTTCTTCTCTTTGTTAAGTAGCTCTAGGAATCAATAAGCATTTAAGCCATGGTTCCCTCTTTCAGAGAAACCAAAGGAAAGAGCTGTACCCCAAACCTGGGCTATGAATGGTTACTTTACAATGGTGCCAGAACTTTTGACCTGAGCCTCGAAGTGTGGGCCTGGGTTTCTAGTAGAAAATCCCCAGAGCCACGTCTAAGTTCATAAAATCACCAGTAGGACTTCATATAGATTTGTGTCTGTTTTACTTATTCTTTTGCAGGTTGTATCTCTGTAGATACATCTGTCTTGAGTTCAGCAAACATTTATTAAGCACCAACTATGTGTCTGATTCAAATAACCCCCAAAATAAATAGTAGTCTCATGCCTCCAAGATGTCATGGTGTAGATGGGGAGAAAGATGGGGCGCTGTAAAAGTAACTTGCAATGAATTTCCACATAGATCCTTTAAGTAAATGATAGGTTTGTCACTTGCATGAAAACTGGCATTTCATTTGCTCCTTCCCTGGATGAATACAGCTGAGAGAGGGGTGTCTTCAACTGGCTAGTAACTGACCCTTGGTAGATAAGGATCAGAACTGCAAAACAGACAAACAGCTCTCCTGGGCACGCAGCTTCCCAGCTGCACTTTGGGAGGCTCATGATGTGGCACATCTGTTTCCTTGGCCCCAGAGTGAGGTGGGGATGAAGCCTCAGCCCCCACAGCTGCTGCCCCACTTCCCCAGCCCCTATTGCACAGACTGCAGAGCAGAGATGTGCCCTGCTCTCCAGCAGCTGGAGGAAGTGGGCATGATTCACTTTAGCTTTAGGGCCTGTGCCACGCTCCCCTCCCTCTGCCATTTCCTCTGCATCTGGGATGGGATGCAGCTTTGCAAGCCGCCCATTTCCGTCCAAGGGAGGGGGTGGTTGGTACACTGTGAGAAAAAGGGGATGTTTGCTCTTTCCATTTTCCTGGAGTGGTGAGAGAGTAGGTGAGCGGAAATCAGAGGTGTGGTGTCCTGGAAGTTGTCCAATTGGCTGAGAGTCCCAGGGCCTGGACCCTGGGACTGATTTGGGAATGTCAGTGGGGCCAGGAGACACCATGGTGGCCACCTGCTTCTGGGCACTTTGGAACTGCCCTCTGGGCCCTCCCAAGTCACATCTTTTCTTCCCTCCTGCAGGGGCATGTCCTTCCACGGCACCACCATCGGCCTGGCCCCCCTCATGGCCATGTGCTCTGTGTACCAGTCCGGCGGAGTCAACATGGTGAGTCTCAGCTGACATGTAGGTGCTGCGGCAGGCAGACCACCTTACAGGACAGGACAACATCTTTTTTTTTTTTTAAGATGTATTTATTTATGCATACAAGAACTGGGGTATAGGCCAGAGGTGCTGGGGGTGAGAGGATTCACCAGAGACAGAGTAGGGAACAGAACAGGCAGACTGACTGAAATACACTGCTGAGGGGAGCAGCAGGTGAGACAGGAGAGGTCTGCTGCACCATGTGGGTCACCTCCCTGGCCAGGGATCGATCTCTTGCTGCAGAGGCTGCAGATAACTTCACAGTGCTGTGCTTATTAATCCCTTGCGCTACCAGGGAGGCCCCAGGGCAGCATCTTGTGAAAATAATTTTCTACTTGACATTGCTAGGGGTGGGTGGTGACATTTTTGACATCAAGAAGGGAAGTTGTTTAACATGAAGTCATTGAATTCTAAAAAATGTAGGTATGGGGTGAATGTCCCATTATTGTGCTTTATCTCTGGTTTTCCAGCTCTGGGGCACCCTGGAGGCAATGTTTTCAGGTATTTAGATCTCTAGTTTGTTCTAAACCAGGCGCTGGGGGCAGTGGGGCAGAGATAACAGAGGTCTTGTGTTCCAGGTCAGGTGTTAGGTAAACATGCCATTATGAACAGAGAGCCCACTCATGGTCGGGTGGGGAATTACTGCTCTGTGAAAGAGTGGTTTGACTGTTCACTTCTGACCTGCCTACGAGAGTTCAGGAGGCCCGCTACCCTTTTGTCTTCCATCCTGTCCATCCTGTGTTTAATGACGGATGCAGCTTGGTGGTCAAAAGCATGGGCTTGCTTTTTCTTTTTAAATATTTTTTTTCCAGGGACTCTGAGAGTGTTCTGTTCATTTTTTAGTTGTATTTTTTTTATTGAGGTAATGTTGGTTTGTAACATGTGTGTGCTTTAGGAGTACAGGTTCACACCTCTTCAGATGTCTAGTGGAAGCAATGCCTAGCATTTTTTTAACAGCACTCAGTATCATCTAAACACTTCGCTTATGAAGCTCAGACTGGATAAATAGCCAACTCTTTTTTTTTTTCAAAGTCAGACAGAGAAAGACAACTACTGTATGATCTTTCTTACATATGGGATTTGAAAAAAAAACCCAGCTCATAGAATCAGATCAGATTGCTGGTTGCCAGAGGTGGGGGTACGCAGCAGAGATGGTCAAAGACAAAATTTCCATTTCTAGATAAGTAAGTCTTGGGGATGTCATGTACGGTATGGTAACTATAGTTAACAATACTGTATTGAATATCTAAAAGTTGGGAAGTGAATGAATCTTTAAAAAAAAACACTGTAACTGTGTAACTGTTATAGGACAGGGAGAGGGGTAGCCCAAGCCCCGCAAACCTGCCTATTCTAAATGGGTTCTGCCATCCGCCGCATCAACACAAAACATATGAGACTTTAATGGGAAGGAACTTTAATAAAACTAGGAAACAATACAGGTAAGGCAAAGAGTCTAGTTTCTAAATGAAGCACCCAAAGTTACCCGTCCCCTCGTGGGTAAAAGTCCATCCAAATGGGATTGGCCCAGAGCAAAGCCCCAAAGCCTGCCACAAGTCTAAAGCATCTTCCAGTGGGGACCCACAGAAAAGGGTCACAAACAACTGGACAAGCCCGGAAGGAAAAGAGCAAAATCAACATCCAGATAAAAGCTGCCATGGTCACCTCCCCACGGGTCTCACCCACATCTGTGTCACCCAGTCCACGACCAAAAGACAAGCGCAGTTTCTTCACGTGTCTCTAGGCTCCATGCACCTCCTCCAGGTCTTCTGGCTCCATCCTGCTCCTTCCTTCCTCAGTCTCTTCTGCAGCTTCCCCTCTTCCTGCTCAGCTCCACCCTCCCTTGGGTGGGGCAGGGAACCTGGAACCTCCCCCTTTCCTGGGGACCACCCTGTTACATAACTATGAGGTTGATGTTGTTTGGAAAGGTGTTGGGTTCGAAGAGTGGGGTCCTTGGGTTACCTCCAAGAAAAGTTTCATCAGAACTCCCCTTCCAGTGGCACATGGCTGGTTTTCCATGAGGCAGAGACGTTCAGTTACATCCAAAATGTCAGGTTTATTATAAAAAGGAAAGTGAAGGAAAGGATGCTTGCATAGACAAGCATGCACAAAGAGCTGCCCCCGAAGGGAATAGATTTGCTAGAAGAGACGCCTGCACAGTCACAGGCGGGCATCTTGCCAGTGCAGAAATTGTACGGGTATTCTCTTTGGGAGGGGCTCATTCCTTTGTGGGGTGGCTAGCTGCTGTTAAAGTAATTGTTTCTAGGGTTGGCGCCTATGCATTTTCTCTATATTTAGTGTGACTAGGTAGATTTGAAAGACCAATGATTTTTACAGTGGCCCCAAATCCATATCTTCTGCCTCTGGTCTGGGCCTCTGTGGTCTGGGCCTCGGTCTGCACTTCTGGATACTTTACTTTTCTATAGCTTGTTTAACAACTATGTAAATCATTTCTACCCCAGCCTCTGGTTTCTGATCTTGTGATGCCTCCTTCCCAAATTTTCTACTCTTAGCCTCCATCAAGGTAGTGCTCGTTAACTAGATTTGCTGTTGTGATCACTTCACATTGCGTGCATATATCAAATTGTCATGTTGTACACATGAAACCTTTACAATTATGTTTCAGCAAAACTGGGGGGAATGTTAGAAAAGTAGGGACTAAAAACAGTGGGTGGAGGAAAGCCCAGGCTTTCTCACTGAGCCACATGCCTGGTGATCAAGTGTCAGTGGCCAGCTTGGCTAAAGAAAAGGCAGGGTGGGGGGTCTGAGGGTCTGTGTTCTTGACCTGCTTCTGTCCCTGAGCAGGACCACTCTGAGAACGCCATAGGTGTGGCTGCCACCATGGCCCATGAGATGGGCCACAACTTTGGCATGAGCCATGATTCTGCAGATTGCTGCTCAGCCAGCGCAGCAGATGGGGGCTGCATCATGGCTGCCGCCACCGGGTGAGTCCAGTAGGGAGGGGAGGTCAGGATGGGGAGGAGGGCTGAGTGTACAAGGCTGGTGCAGAGATCAGGGACCACCTCTAGCTCAAGGATGAAATTAAACCCATGATCTTGATCTTTCTTGGCCTCTTCTTCTATTGCAAGAAAATCTCTATTTAATGTCAGCTTCAGGATAAGTTTGGGTTGCTGGTGTTTTTATTTAGCTCTGAGGCTCAAGAGACCTAATAGTGAGCATCACACTCACTAAGCTTGATTTATTACATCTCCTTCACACAAAGGGCAGACATGGCTGCCTCTGATGCTCAAATACCTGCTCCATCAGAGTGAGGAGAAAACGTCACTAGGGGGTTGACATTTCTTAATTGGTAGAGAGAATTGTGAGTTAATGTATCGGTGATGTCCTTGAGGAGGCAGAAGGTATGTTCTTTGGACACGGGGTTCTGACACAGGTGGAATCAGCCTCATGGCCGCAGGACTGACAACTGTTCAGGCTGCTTGATGCACAGATTCCCAGGTAACCCAGACTTTGTCCCCTGCCAGACACCCCTTCCCCCGCGTGTTCAACGGGTGCAACCGGAAGGAACTGGACCGGTATCTGCAGTCAGGCGGGGGAATGTGTCTGTCCAATATGCCGGACACCAGCACCCTGTACGGGGGCCGGAGGTGTGGGAACGGCTACCTGGAGGATGGAGAGGAGTGTGACTGTGGGGAGGAAGAGGTAAGGTGTCCTGGTGTGGCTGGTGGGCGGGCAAGAATGTGCATTGGTTTCAAACCTCAAGGTCAAAGAATGTACAACTGAAAATTTCTTTGTCATAAACATGTCCTGCACCTGGCTATTAGAGACCCCATCACAAATAAGACATGAGGAGTAATCCTTAAATATGGGCCTCTCCTGCCCTCCCCACCTTCCCACTAGCTTGGGGTTGGCACTGTTTGTGTCCAAATCAGGGTCGAATTCTCATGTGAGTGTCTGGTGAACCAGAAACCACAGCCTCTTCCCCAGTGTGGCTCCAGATGGCCTCCCCAGTGCTGCAGCTGCACTAAATTTATTCTGGAGGCTCTGCAGCCGGATACATGAACTTGAACCTGGGTCTTCTGAGGATACTTAAAATAACAAGTCCATGCGGCTTGGCCTGGAGAAGGGATGATGGAAAGCGGACATAGGAAGTGCTGTCAGTCTGAGAAGGGCTGCGGGAGGAAGAAGAGCAAAATTGTGTTGATTGGGGGGCGGGGCGGCTTTCCTTCCTTCTGGTCTTCAGAATGAGGGGCAGCCTATGGCTGAGCACTGTCATTTTAAACAGATGCCTGTTGTCCTGCAAAAAAGCAGAACCAGCTAGTTTCGTCCCTATTTTTGAAGTATGAGATATGTATGTCAATTTGTGTACAACCCTTAGGGGGTGAATGGGCGGGTAGCTACAATGGGGGTGGGGTGAAGGACCTGTACACCTGGCAAAGGACTGCAAAACTTGATCATCTTTTCTATAGTTTGCTTGTTTTTTCAATGCCAACATTCAACTATTGTAATGAAAAAAAAAAAAAAAAAAAAAAAAACAGTTAATGACTCAGCCACCATAGTTTAGACCCTGCAGGAGGGAGGGTTGTGCTATCTGGAGGCCCAGGGGTGGGAAGCGGCCTTCCAAGTGAGCTCTGTTACTTGGTTTATATTCAGAGCAGCTGCTTATTCAACAAATATTATTTACTGCATGTGGGTGCAGTATTACACGCTAGGGGTAGACGGAGGCAAAATTAGACATGGTCCCTGTCCTTGCAGCACCTGCAGTCTAGTGAGGGAAATACACAGTGACCCAAGAATGGCAAACGGTAAGCACCACCCTTGGTGAGTGCCAGGAGGGCCCCGGGACCAGGTGCTGTGGGCACGTGACAGTGGCCCTGCTTGGATGGCGGTGTGACCTCTGACCCATATCCAAGGCAGTGGTTGGAGTTAGCAAGGTGCAGGAGCAGGGGAGGCACATTTAGGTAGAGGAGGAACCATGTGTGAAAAACGTGGGAAAGGGAAAGCATACATTTCTGCCTGGAGCCGAGGATGGCGGGACATGGGTGGGGGGAAACTGTCTTATTCCTCCTCTTATTGGAGACAGATAGATGGGCATCTGTGGTCAGGGGTGGTGTGTGTCTCTCCAACACACAGGACTCCTAGACAGCTGTGGCTAAGATATAGTTAATACACCTCATGGGCCCCAGGCAGAACTTGCCTGAGCCTGGGATCTCCTGTGAAATGGGGATGAAATGAATGATGAACCCACCTCAGGCTGTGAGGGTCCTGAGGGACCTGTGCATGGAGCTCGCATGTGGTCAAGAGGTGGATTCCTGATAGGCCTGTGGGTGTAGCAGGCGTGTGTTGAGGATACAAGCATCACTGAGGCGTAGCATCATCTTTTCAATCTCACACTGTGTCAGAAATCAGGATCTGTGTGGCAGGAAGCAGGATCAGAGAGCAGGGAAGCCCTACAGACCTTCTGTCCTGGAAAGATCCAGGCCAGTGAGCACAGAGTAAGAGCAGCAGATGGCAGGAGAAGTCTGAGGCAGCAGGTCCCAGAGTTGACATAATCGGTGTTCAGAGGTTGTGCCGGCATGCCTTTGCTCCTTGTGGCCTCTTTTTAGGAGAAAATGGGTCTGGGAGTGTTGGGGCGGAGCAGACAATAGTAGAAGAAATCTCTGATATTCTTTCTGGGGGGGAGGAAAACAAATCTCAGAATGTCCGTGGAATGAATTACCATGCTAAAAATCACATTGCAGAAGAACATGCTATTCCAAGGAGAAAAGTGCACGTTGTATCAAGTCAAACAGTGTGGATACTGTGGTTGTGTGAAGCATGTCTCAAAGGTGTAGCTTGCGTCTTACTAATGACCATACATTTGTACATTTTGCTATGTTCATACACACTCCCTTAGCGAGAGAGCCAGAAAGTGATTTTTTGGTAAAGACTCTTCGTGGAGCATGGGCTCCAGGGCACATGAAGGCCCTGGCTGCCCAGAGGCTCATGGTCACCGTCTGCCTCCCCAGGAGTGTGACAACGCTTGCTGCAATGCCTCCAACTGCACCCTGAGAGAAGGAGCGGAGTGTGCCCATGGCTCCTGCTGCCACCGGTGCAAGGTAGGTGGCCCACTCACTGCCCCCAGACCCCCCACAGCCTGTGCCCCCTGAGGTGGAGATCTGGAATCCCCCTTGGGAAAGCCGTGGCAGCAAATTTGAGGAACATGGAGCTGGAAGCTCCTGGAACAAAGTATGCTTATGTCCTTATACAAATGACATTCTACCCCAGAGGCTGGAAAGTGGGAGATTACATAGTTGAAAGAAAGAAGTGTGCAGACAGAGTAGGCTTCCTGTTATTTGGAGCTCAAAATAATTATTGCCATAACTTTGATTAGTGTTAATGAACCTCATGTTAGATGCCAGGCACAGTGCAGTCAGTTTTGTGCATATTATCTCATCCGATACTGACAAGAGCCTCATGAGATGTCTATTATTATCCACAATTAAAGATGAGGAAATGGGCTCAGAGGGTGCAAGTGGCTTGCCCAGGCCCACACAGAGAAGGGGCTGAAGTGGCCTCCTGACTCTGGAGCCCCGTCTTCAAGTCTATGTGTTGATGTCACAAGTAGTATTACTAGAGCACTCCACGCCCTCACCTATGATTCTGGAATCCAGAAATTCCAAAAACTGAAAAAGTACTTTTCCCCACTCATTTGGTGGCAGAATTGACCTGAATTGATATGAAACTAATGATAGTATTTTATAAATCACATTTAAAGTGAATAAATTTAATTGCAGAAATATTGATGTGCTTAATTATAAAATGTAATCCTAGGCCTTGCTGGGGGATTATGTGGTATACCTGTGTAATGAGGGGTGTGTGTGTGTGCATGTGTGTGTGCGTGCATACATAGGTGATTTTATATACATACGTAATTTTGTATGAGGTCTGTTTTCCAAACAATTTTTTTTAAATTATAGTAACATTGGTTTACGATACCATTTTTTTTTTTCACAGTGTAAGCACTGTAAATCCCTGTATTCTATGCTATGGTCCCCCCAAAAGTATAGTTTCTATCCATACAATTGACCTGATTTACCCACCCTAATCTCCCTTCCCTCTGGTAATCTCCATTTTGTTCTCATGATCTAAGACTTTGCTTCGGTTTTGCTTTGTTCATTCATTTCCTTTGGTGCTTTATCTTTCACATATGAGTGAGGGCATACGATGAGGAGAAGTATGTGGGGAGAGACTAGCCTGGATCTGTGACCCTTGGTCCAACTCCTGGGAGTGTGATGTGGGCATCTGAACTGTGTCCCTTAGCTGTAAAACAGTGTGTCAGTAAAGCCAAACTCCTGGGGAGCCAGGAACTCAAGTGGACACCTTCTTTACTTGTCCCCCACCTGTGGTGCTGACCAGGGCATCTTAGCTACAGAAGGAGACACATGCAGTGACTGTCTCATGGACATTGTGAGGGGCACATGAGAGAAGTGTGTATACCGTGGCCCAGCGCTTGGCTCAGTCATGGGGCTGCATTAGCGCTAAGTGCTGTTTGCGTTCAGAGAGGTGGTGGGGCGATAGTGTTCATGCTTCCTGTGCACGTACGGAATCCACACAGAGATGTCCAGGGGCAAGTTTGTATTTGTATTATATTAGTAGCTCTGTGTGTGAGCTTGTGTGCGTGTGTGCCTGCGTGTAAGTGGGCCTGGGTCCGCACCCACTCACTAACCCTGAGCCTTGAGATACATTGCTTAATATTGCAAGCGTCTATACAGCAGGGATGTGACACAACACAGGACTATCGTGAAGCTAAATGAGGTGAATTTGTCCTGGGCACTTAAAATGTGGAGGCTCCACAGAAGTAGCCTTTATGACTAATGCACTTTGTAAACTTAATTGTTGTGTAAATATGAGTTCTCGCCAACTTCTTAAGTGGGCCGTGAGAAGGCACTGAGTTAGCATGTGTGCAAACACCCAGGAAACTAGGTCCTATTCCTGTTATTAGTTTGGGGGTTGAGCTGATGGGGTCATGTGCAGTACAGTCATGGGAAACTGTCCCCCAAGAGCTGCTCACACATGAGCCCTTTTGGGAGAGGGTTGTGGGCTGACTGGAGACTGACTGTTTCCTTTTTCTGTCTCTGGGCTCAGCTGCTGGCCCCTGGCACCGTGTGCCGTAAGCAGGCGCGGCAGTGTGACCTCCCAGAGTTCTGCACGGGCACGTCTCCCCACTGCCCCACCAACTTCTACCAGATGGACGGTACCCCCTGCGAGGGCGGCCAGGCCTACTGCTACAATGGCATGTGCCTCACCTACCAGGAGCAGTGTCAGCAGCTGTGGGGCCCTGGTAAGGCTGACGAGGCCCCTCCCTTGCTAAGCCTGCCTCCCCTTGGCACTCGGGGTGGACTTTCAGGGGGCGGTGAACAGTGTCCTTCCAATTCCCTGATGAGTTCGATTCCTGGAGTGGCTAAACAGATAAGAACAATCCAACAGAAAAAAAAACAGGCTGAGGCTAGAGACAGAGAAGGAAATGCCAATGGCCCTTAACCCAAGATCTCTAACCTCACTTGTGTTAAGTGAAAGCAAATTGTAACTATGACGAGATGAGATTTTTCATATATCAGGTTGGCAAAGATTGGAAGGTTACTATAGTAATGAAATTATGATAATACTAAAACTACAACCATAAGAACAAAAATAATATCATGCAGAGAGTATGGAGAATCAGAGAGCTGTCTCTCCTGTGGAAAGCGATTTGGAGATATCAGAAGTTTTTTTTTTTAAAGATTTATTTATTTATGCATACAAGAGCTGGGGTGCAGGCCAGAGGTGTGTGGGGGTGAGAGGATTCACCAGAGACAGAGTGGGGAACAGAACAGGCAGATTGACTGAAGTACACTGCTGAGGGGAGCAGTGGGCGAGTCAGGAGAGGTCTGCTGTGCCATGTGGGTTGCTCCCTGGCTGGCCGGGGGATTGAACTCGTGCTGCAGTGGCTGTGGACAGCTTCATAGGTTGCATCTTAACCTCTTGCGCCACCAGGGAGGCCTGAGATATCAGAAGTTGAATGCACTTATCATTGGCCCCACCACCTACTCCCCAGGAGGGTGCCCTACACCGCTGGCCCCTGTGTGAAGATAGTCACAAGGCCATACCCTGCGGCTTTTAGTTATACCTTCCAGCCTTTAGAGCCTTCTGTGGGGGCCCACTGGATGAATCCAGACACTCATCCAGTGGAACACGAGGCAACTGAATAAAAGGAGGCAGCTGTGTCTGTGCTGAGTAAAATCATCTCCCACGACATATGAAGTGAAACTCAAGATAAGACCAGGGGCTAGACTACGCCACTGTTCTCTGTTCAGTGGGGTCTCTCGAGAAGATACAAAGGAGCTATACCTACAAGAGAAACAGCCATCTCCAGATACATGGATATCATGTGATTGCTCTCCAGAGAGTACAGAAGTGGAAATTGGAATAGTTTATTGGAAAAATTCCCAAAACATTCTTTACTTAAAATTTTGTGCATGTGTTACCTATTTAAAAAAATTCCTGAAACAGAGCAGCCCTTCTTCATTAGAGACAAGGCCTAGTATATTACCCTCCCACAGATGTAAAGCCTCAGTTAGTCTGATAAAAAAAAACCTTCCTATCTGAGTCAGTGTTGAGTAGGTGGGGGTGGGGGAGTGTTGATGAGAGCACAAGAAGAAGCTGATGATTTCCTCCCCAAAATTTTCTTAACCTCTTCATGTTATCAGGGGCTAGCTTTGCCCTCTGGGAGCTCCTGACATCTGCTAAGGCTGGCTGGTGTACTGATAGCTGTCTCTTGCCCATCCAGGGGCTCGGCCTGCTCCTGATCTCTGCTTCGAGAAGGTGAATGTGGCAGGGGACGCCTTTGGAAACTGCGGGAAGGACCTGAATGGGGAACACAAGAAGTGCAACATGAGGTGATGACCAGAGGGCAGAGCCCAGGAGCTGAGGCCTGACAGCAATTACACTTAGGCCTCCTCACCCCTGCCCACCCAGCAGCATGGCGGGCATGGAGCTGGACCTTGAAATAAGTGGGAGCCAGTTACCCACTTTAGGTCTTTGTGTGACAAGGCACTATCAGCCCTAAAGAGGTCAGAGGGGGTGTGGGTGGCCATCGTTCCTTGAAAGCTGATCAGATTTCCTTTGGGGACCATCTTACAGTAGGGCAGGGAGTCATTCCTCTTGGGTCATTTCTGAAGGGTGCTAATTATACCTATACCCTTCCCTGAATATCCCATTACTCACACATCCATCCAACCATTTATCACCCATCTACTTTCTGTGGAAGGTTTTCCACATGCCAGTTACTCTGCTGAGGACAGCGAACTTTTCATTAATAGTACAGTGTGATGATGGGAATGTAGAGAGAGCTACCCAACCCAGTCTTAGTGGGTCAAGTTGCTTTCCAAAAGGAAGTTATACCTAAGCTGGGATCTGGAGAAATTAGTTGAACAGGTTGGGGTTAGTGCTGATACGTGGAAGAGTGTCCCAGAGAGATGAGTAGAGGACAACTGGTGGTAGGAAGAACTGATAACAGTTTGATATAAAGTACAATGTTGGGGACCACTGGAGAGGGATCTTCTGAGAAATGACCCTGGTTAATGAAGCAGGTCCCAGATCATGAAAAGCCTTGAATATATCACTGGAGAGCTTGGATTTTGACTTGAGAGCAGTTAGACTCCTATGGGGAAGACTGGAAGCAGAGAGACGAGTTTCCTGGTGTCTAGGTAAGAGAGACTAGTGGCATGAATTAGGATAAACATAGGAGGGAGCATTGGCAGGGCCTGAAAAGTGAATGCAGGAGTGAGGGATAATGGTGAATTGGAATGGCACTGGGCTTGATTGGAGCCCCTTGGTGCTTATGGGTACAAGGTGTACAGGGTGCAGGTTGCTCATTCGGGCAGCTGTCCTTTCAGGAAAGAGGATTTCTAAGGCCAGCTCTCTGGCCTAGATCTGCTCGGGGACATGGGCCTTGTTTTCAGGCCTTGGGCTGAGTGTATGTGAAGTCTCTCCTGGTGGGTCCCTAGAGCACACACATTGCCCCTCTATGCTTCCCCCTCCTCATCCTGCTGTCGTGCTCAAGACAAACTGAAGTGCTTCTCTGCCTCAGCTCCTCCCAACCTCTAATTCTCTCTCCTTCCCTCTCCCCCCTACCCCCTCGGTTCAGAGATGCCAAGTGTGGGAAGATCCAGTGTCAGAGTTCTGAGGCCCGGCCCCTGGAGTCCAATGCAGTGCCCATTGACACTACCATCATTGTGAATGGGAGGCATATCCAGTGCCGGGGCACCCATGTCTACCGAGGTCCCGAGGAGGAGGGTGACATGTTGGACCCAGGCCTAGTGATGACTGGAACCAAATGTGGCTACAATCATGTGAGTCCCTTCCTGCAGCTTCACTTGGGACCTGGTTGCAAAGGGCAGTGACTGAGCCTGGTTCTGGGAGGAGCATGGTGGGCTCACATCCCAGCCCCCATCTCTCTGAGCCAGAGTATCTTCCTTTATAAATATGTTAGTCATAACAAGCTCCCACTCCATAGAATTGTATAAGAAGTAAATGGGGCAATGCCTGTAAACCATCTACATGGGCTAACTATCATCCCTGTTGTTCATTATCATTGGCTAAATCTTACACCCTCTTCCTTAATTTCCACGGTTAAGAGATGGACCAGGGCCTCCCCTGTGGCACAGCTGGTTGAGCGCAGTGCTGTGAAGCTGTCCACAGCCTCTGCAGCGTGGGTTTGATCCTCAGCCGGCTGAGAAGATACCCACATGGCACGGCAGACCTTTCCTGTCTCACCTGCTGCTCCCCTCAGCAGTGCTTTCGGTCTGTCTGCCTGTTCTGCCCCCCACTGTCTTTGGTGTGTCCTCTCACCCTCCTGTGCCTCTGGCCTGTACCCCGGCTATTGTATAAATAAAAAAAATATATATAAAATTAAAAAAGTGAGAGAGATGGACTAGACTAGGAAGCCTGGGAAATAATGGCACGTCAGAGTTAGCCCTGGGCACTCAGTTCAGTACCTCGTCCAGGGTAGATGACTCTCACCATCATCACTGATTTTAAGTATAATATTAAAATTATTGCTTGTTAATATATAATGAAGTAATTAATATATAACTAACATACATTGAGATAGATTGTAATAACCCATTTTTAATTTAATATCATATTGTTAAATATAATGTTTTAACAATATAATAGTTATTTTCTCCCTGATTACAAAAGTAGTAGCAGGATTTAGTTAGCTTCTGTCCTGTCCTTGACTTTTTAGGCTTTCAGTTTTGAACTGTAATAAAGAGCCTAAAGTGGCTGATCTGAGGCCCACATGTTCTAAGAGCAAACCCTGCGTCCAGATGCCCCATCCTTGCTGTTGTACTCACAGTTTGGTTTCCTCCTCACTACAGATTTGCTTTGAGGGTCAGTGCAGGAACACCTCCTTCTTTGAAACGGAAGGCTGCGGGAAGAAGTGCAATGGCCATGGGGTATGTGTGTGCTTCTGGGGTCTCCTATCCTGGTGTCCTGGGGTCAGGGCCGTGGGAGACTGGTGCTGTCCATGGTGCTGATGCCTCTGACTTCTCCCTTCCCCCTTCTTCCTCCCTCTAGGTCTGCAACAACAACAGGAACTGCCACTGCTTCCCAGGCTGGGACCCCCCCTACTGTGACACACCCGGCAATGGTGGCAGCATTGACAGCGGGCCAATGCCCCCCCAGAGTGAGTGCCCAGCCTGCTTGGACCCTTACCCATCTTTGTGAGGAGGGCTGGGCACACGGGGCAGGTGGCTGTTGCAGTGTCTGCATTGAGTCAGCTTCTGGTCCTGATTTTATGAATTTGGGGACAAGGAAAAGTGGGATCTTGTGGGAGGAACGTCTGAGGTTGGTAGCCGGCCTGAGCTCAACTTGGCTGCTCCTCCTTTGTCCCTTCTCCTGAGATGGGTGATTAAGACAGGTTACTGAATAATCCCATTTGTGGGGTGGCATGGGGTGGCATCTAGCTGCTCAGCCACTTACAAATATTCAGTGTGAATATTTGTTTACAGTTATTTGTAAATATTTGAGGCACATCATTGTGACTCAGATTCTGAGACTAACACTCAGAAGATTTGCAGCTTTTTTCAACCCTTAAAAAAATAGTAACTGTTTCTTTTAACAAACTCTTTCAAAGAAGCAATCCCAAACTATGAAACAGACAGAAGTAGTGTTTCTCTAGTGTGCATCTATCTTACACATTTAAATCTTTAATTTATGAGGATTTTGAGGCAGTTTTGATGAGTCCCAAGGTGACATTGTGGATATGCATGAAACTTCTAGTCTTAGGTCAGGCTCAGTCTCTCAGTGTTTACATTGGTTGCCTTGCGTCCAGGAAAATCCTGGTTCATGCTGAAAACCAGTGGTAAATAATTGTAGAGCTTGAACTCCTCACCTCACAAGGGACTCTCTTCAATGAAACAAGAGACCGGAACAGTTTTATCAGCCACCTGACCTGGCTGTTTAAGCTAATATTATTGGTTTCTCAGTACAAGGTAATGGGTGTGTTTTTATGATAATTTTTGTGTTAGAAGAAATAATATATGCATATCAGGTATTTGGTAAAGTCTGAGGCAGACATAGTTTGGAATCCATGGCTATAACCAGTCAGCTTTTGACTCCTGTGGCTTGTTTCTGGCAGGCATGGGCTCGACAGTGGTGGGAGTACTCACGGCCATCTTCATGCTGGTGGTCCTCATGCTGATATACTACTGCTGTAAGCAGAACAGCAAGCTGCGCCCACTCCAGCACGTAGTCCTCTCTTCCAAGTTGAGGCAACAGTTCAGGTATGACGGGGTACCAGAAAGGACTTGGGGTCCTAGGGGTGATCAAGTTTTCTGCATAGGAAACAGTGCCCAGGGAACAGGTGGGTGGTTGTGGGTCTGTCAGGGAGGTCAAGTGCTCCATGACCATAGCAGATGTCATCACTGGGTATCTTATGTAAATACTCTCCTGATCCTGCCATCGCTTCAAAATCCTTCTCAGTTCAATGCCCCCAGCTAACTCACATGGGAATAGGAAATGAAATCTATTGGCCCTCCTTTCTCTGACTGAATTGGTTCCTGTTTTGAAGAACAGACGGCCACAGGAAGGAATAACAAACCCTAGTCGACCAAAGGGCTGGTGGGACAACAACACAAGCCAAACTCTGACTTCCTGTTGGTGATTGATCTCTTTGGATGTTGTCTCTGAGTTCCCTATTAATTGCACTTGTTAATTGTCCTGGAGGGGATTTTAAATCCCACATCTCTCTGAATATATACCTGCAGGGTTGGCTAATGGCTGGTGACATCCTCGTAGCTCCTTAGAGTGCAAGGTCTGCAAAGGAAGGGAAGACGTTGCCAAGGGAAAGTTCTTTGTATCAGGCCACCTCTCCTGGGGATTCACCAGGGGCAACACTCATCCTTGTACCTCAGGAGCTGGAGTTAGCAGACTTGGAGCAGATCTAGCCACTTAGCGTCTATGCTTGGGTCAGTGGGTGCTCAGGTCCTGACCCTTGAGAAAGCGCTCACTCTCCTCCTCTCTGTCCCGCTACTAGTTGTCCCTTCAGGGCATCTCTGAACAGTGGAACTGGCCACGCCAACCCAACGTTCAAGCTGCAGACACCTCAAGGCAAGCGAAAGGTAAGCATTTTGCACTTTGGACTTTGCTACTTTTTCTTTATCCCTCAGAATCCTCCTGGATTTCCCTAAGAAATTCTGTGGGCTCGTGGGATTGGTAATAAACACCAGTTTATTGGCCAGAGAGTCATTCAGTTGGTTCTGACACTCCTTAGGACTAATGCTTGCAGGTGTCTTTGGGATGCTGGGGATTTCACAGGTCAGCATGTCCTCCCTTGGCCACTGGCCAGCCCAGTGAGACCCACGAGGCATCCCTGAGATTTTAAGTGCCATGGGGATTCCTGTGTCTCTCACACTCTATCTTATTATGCATATAGGTCACCAACACCCCCGAGATCCCAAGGAAGCCATCCCAGCCTCCTCCCCGGCCCCCTCCAGATTACCTGCATGTCAGGGCCCCACCTGCGCCATTGCCCTCCCATCTCAGCACGACTGCTCGGAACTCCCCGGGGGCCAGCATCCAAGTAGAAAGGAAGGAGTCATCCAGGGGGCCTCCCCCAAGCCGGCCAGTGCCCCCTGCACCCAACTGCATCCTGTCCCAGGTATGTGACTTCTTACACCCCTGGGCTGGGGGCGTTGCTTTTAAGGTTCTCAGTGATGGGGAATGACAGGCTGGCAAGGGAGAGCTGGCAAGGGCAGCTGACTCTTCTTCCTGCATTCTGGTAGTTTCGGGGCATGGTGGGTGAGGGCATTTCCTCCCTGCCTGGCTACGATGATCCACTATCCGCCTTCCCCCCAAATGAACTTCATTCAGCACTGCAAGCTCCTTTCGTTATCTCTCGGCCTTTGCAGTTGCCATGTCTTCTGCCTGACACACTCCTCTCTGCTGGGCAAGCTTTTAGTCATCTTTAGGTCCCTGAGATACACCACCACAAGAAGCCTTTCCTGCCCCCAAAGCTTGAGTTCCATGCCCTCTATTTCTCTTGTCACATCTTGGTGTTCCTCCAGCTCTTGACCATGGGCATCTTCAAGGCCTGCCCCTGATGCCTTGCTCATTCAAGGGGCAGGAACCTTGGGGAGGTGTGAGCTGGGTCTGGGCTGTTTGCCCCAGCCCTGGCATTGGTGGGAAGGCTGGCCAGCCGCCAGCAGCCTGCTCCTTGGCATATCTGTGCTTGGACGGCTGCTGGTGCTACCTCTTGGCTCACGCAGTTTCTGGGGCTGTGATGAGCACGCTGCCACCCATTTGGACCCAGCCACTGTGTTGTGGTGTGATTCTTGTGGGCAAGGGTCTTACCTATCTCCCTCCTGTGTCTGCTTTTCTTGGGCTTGTCCCAGAGGGCTCCCTTGGGGCCTGGGCTGACTCTGGGACTGTGAAACTGGCCCAGGTCTTGGCCGGTCCCTGGAACATGAGGCGGTGTCACTGGTGGAGCTGAGAGCCTCAGTTTAGGTCCTCTGTGATTGTGGAGCTGCTGCTGTCATTTGGATGACCAGTTACCACAGACCAGGGGGCTTGAACCACAGAGATTCCCTCATAGCTCTGGAGGCTGGACGTGTAGGGTCAAGGTGTCAACAGGTTGGGCTCTTGAAAGGCCTCTCTCTTTGGCTGGCAGACAACAGCTCCTCCTATCTCCTCCCCGAGCACATGTGCCCCTATGTCTCTGTGGGTCTGGATTTCCTCTTCTTACAAGGACACCAGTCAGATTCAATCGGTATCCACTTTAAGTCCTCTTTAACTTCATTACCCCTTTCCAGGCCACATCTCCAAGTGCAGTCACATTCTAAGGTGCAACATGTGAACTCGGCTGGTGGCAGATCCACCTGTAATGCAGGAGAGAAAGGGCATCAGGGTCTTAGTGCTAGATCACATCTCCCAGGGCAGTGAATCCAGCCGAGGGAGGCACCACAGAGTCTCCTCGGCCTGCCCTGTCACCTGCTCTCCTGAGTGGTGCTGGCAGGCATCCAGCATGCAGAAGGCTGCCCACCCAGGAGCTCCCACAGAAGCCAACTCACTTCTCCTGGGCCCCAGGGCCCAGTAAGTTTCCTCCAAGGCAGGCAGTGTGCCAGGCCGCTGTGAGCACAAGCTGCAGGATTCAATTCCTTCCACTACCTCCTTCCTCGGAGCCATGTCCAGCAGATGTTAGTGCTGCCTTGGTGTTCTGGCCAGTGACTGAGTCCCACCGGGTTGAAGGGACAACCTACCTCCTTCCAAGGTTGGAAGGAGCCTGGACTTGAGCCCTGGACTCACTCCAGGGTCCTCTTCACCATGCAGACCAGGACCTGACCTGGGGTCATGAGTAGAGTGGGACACACGCATGCTCCAGATCACAGCTCAGTCCCCTCCTAACTGGGTAACCAAACCCCCTGGAGAGGCGGTGGTGAAGCCAGAGCTCCCATTCTGCTGGGGAACAGACTTGGATATGTGGGGTTACATGTTGATCAGAGCCACGACACAGAGGTTCAGAGTTACAGGGGAAGCTGCCCTCATCTGGGAAATCTGGGATGGCTTCCAGTGGAGGTGACATGAGCTGAGACATGAGGGAGGAGCAGAAAGTAGCAAACTGTAAGCTGCGTAAGAGGAAAGAGCTGTCCTGATCCAGAGACCTGCTAGTAGGGAGTGAGCCCCACAGGTGGAAGGGGCTTCCAGGCCCATGTGACTATGTCCACGCAGCTATGAGAGGAGGCTGGAGAGGGGCCAGGCTGGGCCAGGCCGGGCCAGGCTGTGGTCAGGACTTTGGTCTGCATTCTGTGAGAAGGGGGCAGTGGTGGTTTGCCAGGGACATGATCAGATTTGATATTTACCAGGATCACTCTTGGAGGGAGGCTCAGTGCCCAGAAGGGGCACATACATGCTCCTGGGGCTGTCCGTCTTCTGTTTTGACCTGGGTAGAGATTACAGAGGTGCGTTCACTTTGTGAGAATTCATCTGATTGTATATTTATGGTTCATGTTTTGATATGTATATTACACTTCGGTTTTTAAAAAGTAGTTATTAATAACAGGAGGCTCCCTGTAGCGCACTGTGGGTTACTGATGGAGGTGGGGTAAGGCCGGGTGCATGGACAGCCTACTCAGAAGTTTAACTGACATGCAGGGGAGCTGGGGGAGGGGACCTGGCGAGATGGAGGGAGGTGGATGAAAGAGATGTAGAGAGGGAAATAGCACTTGGAAACAGAGGGGCGTTGGCCAGAGCGACCACCCTGCTTCAGTGTCTGTCCTACCCATCCTGACTGAGGAGGGCCCCTTCCTGAAGAAGGGAGCAATGGGCCTAGTGTCTCTGACTCTGCCACTGGGAGACAGTGGGGCTTTGCCCCACTGGGCAGGTATGACGGTGGCAGGATGCTGCTTGAGAGGCCCAGTGTCCCTGTCAATAAGGTGCCTGTCCAGGTTACCCCTCCCCCACCCTGTCCTTATTCAGCACAACTAGCAGCCAGGAGCTCAGCTCTCCCCTCATCCTGACCTGTGCCCACTGTCGCTTCCTGCAAGGATCACTGCCCTGGCTCTAGCAGCCGCTGTGGTGGGGCAGCTGTCAGGGTTGGAAAGGGGGGTGGCATTATCCTTCAGGGAAGGGTGGTAACTGGAGAAGATAGCTTTTTGGTCTCCAGAGTCACTGCTTTTCTGTTCTGAGATTTAGTTTCTGCTGTTTCCTGATGACTGAGAAACTTCTGGGAGGAAATCACAGTTTTCTCCATCTACCTGCCTTGTGATCACTTTTGTGCTGGTCACTGACCCTCTCAAGGAGAGGTGCATCAGGGCAGCCTGCACTGGACCCTCTGAAATTGACTTCTTCCCCACCAACTTGGGGATCTGTGCCTGGCCACCGGCCCATCTGTCCATTCTCTGCCCCTTAACATTATTATCTATTTATTTATTTCTTTGCTCACAGAAGAAATAGTTACTATAAGAATTCTGACAAGCACAGAAATTTGTTCAACTAATGCATATTGAGTGCTTTATATGAGGCTGTATATGAGGCTGTTCTGGAAGCTGGAGCTGCAGCTTCAGTTCCCATAGACGAGGCCCCTGGCCCTGCTTCTGTTCTAGTGGGGAGCAGTGGAGGGGCAGAAAAGAAATAAGTAAATTGTGTAGTATATTTTTATGAAATAGATTAAGATGGAGGGGAATGCTGAGAGCCAAGGTGGTGGTGGTGGGGGGGGGGTGTCATCATTTTAAATGAGCTGGTGGGCCCGGACCTGTGGAGAAGGTGACAGCATGCAGGTACTAACACAGAAGCACAAGGAAAGACACCCCCTGCTCCAGGGTTGTGCCAGCACACATAGTCAATGTGAAAAATGGGGTTCTTTATGGATTTTGTTTTTATTTGCACAGGTAGTACATATCATTCTCTTATTAAAAAAAAAAAAAAGGAGTGTTCACCTGGATGGCTTCCCCTCCCCCCCACTCTCATCCCATATCTCAGTTATCAGTTCTGTCTTGTCCTGCATGACTCTTCTGTAGGTCCACATTAACATGGGGCGTGGGGAGTGGGGGAGCTGCTGGTGTGATGTGAGCTCTCCTCCATAGCTGGTGGTTCAGCAGGTCTCTAGCCTGCCCTTCAGCACCCAGCCACCTACTTCATTCTACTTCATTGTTCTTAAATGCTGTGTTATATGCCACTGGGTGATTCCAGTAATTTCTTTCTTGATGGAAGTTTTGATTAGCCCTGGTTTCATGGCCATCATAAGCAGTGCAGCAAGGAATATCCTTGTAATTTCACTTCTGTGCAAAAAGTTCTCAGATGTGGGCCATAGGCAGTGGACCAACACACTCAGAGAATGCACGTTTCTAATTATAACAGGTGCCCCATGTTGCTCTCCAAAAAGTCTATCTCCTATCACTACCTGCATGATTGGTTTTTTAGTGGCATCAGGTGGCACATCCTTTTTCTCATCTGATTTTGACCTGCAATATACTGGGAACATTTTCTTTCCAAGAAGTCCCTGGCCTTTGAGTGATACTTGCTGCTTTCTTCCCAGGATTTCTCCAGACCTCGGCCTCCCCAGAAGGCTCTCCCTGCTAACCCAGTGCCAGGCCGCAAGAGCCTCCCCAGACCTGGTGGCACCCCCATCCTGCGGCCCACTCTCCCTGGCCCTTCACTCACCCGGCCTCTGGCAGGCCCTGCCCCAAAGGTGAGCCCCCAGGAACCCCCAGGAGGAGTCATAGGCCTCTGGGGCCAGGGAGGAGAGGTGGGGAGAGAAGCAAGTATGTGGATAAAGAAACAACATTGTAGGGCTGAACTCCCCAGAACAAAGGCTGAGGACCAAAAGCTTAGCGGTTCCTAGTGCCTGAATAAGTGTCATTTAGACGAGTGACAGGGTGCTTTGGTTTTGAAGCCATGCTTAGAAGCCCAAGTGGTGATGGCTTCAAACCCAGCCCAGCGGATGGACCTGAGCAGGTTGCCCTCGTGGGCCTCAGTGTCCTGTCCGGAAAGAGGCAATACAAAAACAGTGTCAGCCCTTTGGTCAAGGTCTGGGCGGTTCATGAGTACAAACAGTGGGTCATGGTGGGCTGCATACACGTCATGCCCCTCCTCCTGGGGCGGCCCTGTGCTCAGGCTACCAGTCCTGGACTTGGAGCAGAAAAGATGGGGTAGGACCGCAGCGGGCTCACTGCCCTGTGTCGTTACGAGGCCCCAGGAAATCGGGCTGAGCTGCAGCTTTGGGTCAGCTCATTGCCCCCACCAGGCCTCCCACTGTTGGGTTAAGGGACCAGCAACCTGTTAACAGGTTCTATAGGAAGAATCTACAGATTCTTTCCTACCGATGTCTATCTCTCCCTCTGACCTCCTGAAAACAAGAGGACAGTCAGCTATCCATTGATTCTGTGGCCCAGCATTTAGCTGATGTCACTCTCTCCTTCTCTCTTCCCAGTTTCCTGAATACAGATGGCAGAGGGCTGGAGGGATGACCAGCTCAAAAATCTAGAGCCTTCCAAAGGGGCTGTGCTCTCTCCCTGAGGACTCTGCACCCGAGGCGCCATTGCCACAGAATCTGGAAGAAGCATGTCCAGGAGCCTCCTTCCTGCCTCCCCCTGCCTCCCAGGACCACTGCGTCTCCAAAAATTTCCTTGACTTCGTGCTGCCTTGGCTTCCTGGGAGGCCCAGAGGGATGGCCATCCAATGGTCTCAAATCTTGTTGGTACAATAGACAGCCAGGGTGGGGGAGGGGGGTGGAGGATGAAGCATCATCACCTTCCAACCTTCTCTCACCTGGCGCCTTACCTCAGAGGGGCCAGCGGAGCTGGCCACGAGGTATGAGGAGAGGTCTTGGGCAGGCCTGAGGCCAGGTCTGAACTCGGGGAAGGCGTCCACCCACATCTACAGTGGAGTGTGTGCATGAGACCCTCCTATTGTTTGTCTTTCTCCAGTCTCCAGGCGTGACCGGTGGGTGCTGATCAACCACTCCTCTTAGCTCTGAGACTCTGAGATGGAGAGGGCTTGAACCAGCCCTGCTGGGAGTAGGCCTGCCCCGTGGAGGCCACCACTCCTGCCTAGTGGTCCCATGTGAAGAGGTCAAGTCCCCTCCCCCCCCTTATTTACATGGTCACTCTGAATCAGACAGGTACTATTCGTAGGCAGTGTAGACAGCAGGGGGAGCCCCGCCTCCTCTGAGCCTGAAAGCCAAAGCTTGCGATTCCACCACCCACCTCCACTCTCTGCTGCTCTTTCTTTACTCCTCTGCACTTTCAAGTTTCCATGTTTGGATTTCCTTCCCTCCTCCAATCCCTCGGAATCCACCTAATGTGTGGTGCTATGGAGTGTGAACCTCAGGGCCCCGCCTTCCTGGGGACCCGGTGCTTGTTGGGACCCTGGGTTCCCTGTGTGGGTTCTCAAGTGTGACCGGAGTAGACTCAGCCCTGGTCGCAGGGTCACCGCTTTCTTTCCCATTGTGTTTCTGACCTCAGCAGGGGGAGGCTCTTGACCACTCTCTGACCCAAATCTTAGTAGTCAGGGGCCCAGGATGGTGGCAGGTGCAGTGAGGGCAAGAGACATGTTCCTGAAGGTCTGTCACCAACCTGACTTTTATTATGCACTTCCTGTGTCCACTTCTGGGTCATTCACTGCCCTTATCTGACCCTCAGCAGCATGGGGACACCTCTACAAAGGGTCAGGCCTCCCTACAGCAGGGAAGGAGAGAGAGGACACTCTGCTAGCTCAGACATCTCATGTTCTCTGGGGCTGCCTCTTGGCCCCAGATGGTGCTGGGCCTCAGGCCTCCCTGCCCTCTGTGGGGAGCAGTGGTTTGCGCCCAGAATCCTCAGTGCAGGGAAGAGACTTGAGCTTTCTTTTCCCCAACTATCACCCAGGAACCCCAACAGTTCTCTGCACACAATAGGTGCTCAATAGATGTTCTTGGGTTTGTAGACCAGGAGGAGTTTTGGGGATATATCCAAGGACAGGCATGGGGGGGATCAAGAAAGATCTCAGGAAGCGAGGTTCTCTCCCTGGGGCCTTCGTGACATTGTTGACACCCAGCCCCGATTCCCTGGTGTGGGCCCTGGGTGCCCATCTCCACCTTCCTTGCCCCTGACCAAGCTGGGGGGCAGCTTTCCACTCAAGCATGCTACTCTAAAGGCCCCAGGCCTCAAGGCTGGGTCCCAGAAACATAAAGGGAAACACCTAAAAAAAAAAAAAAAAAGAAAAAAGAGCACCCTTAAGCCCCACCTCGTGCCCCACATGTTCCATGATTTTAGAGACTTCAGAGCTGTCACATCAGGAGATGGAGGCTCTGAGGCGAGGAAGCCATGGCCACTGTGGCTGCTGAGCCCCTGGAACTTGAACTCACCCTCTGCAACCACACCGGGAAGGACTGGGTCATTGCTTTCTTGTTTTGTTTTTATTTGTTTTCCATTATTTTAATTCAACCTCCATCCCATGAAATCGTACTGTGAACTGGAAAATGATCAATTTTTGAAAAAAAAAATTATAAAAGACTTTTGGCAGCAGGTCTGAGCGGCTGTTCCCCTCCCAGCTCTGTTCAGGGAGGTCTGGGACCAGCCCTCACCCTCCGGTGCCCATGTGCTGCTTTGTGGTGACAAACGTAAATAAGGACTTTAGGAGGGAGGATTTTATTCAAAAGGACCCCTGGGAGATGGGACAGAGCACTGTGTGGGACTGGGCTGCTGCAATAGGGGTGTGCTGTGAGATCTGGGAGCAGCTCAAAGCCCAGAAAGCAGAGGTCTTTTCCTTTACGGGACCCAGTGACCATGGCTAAAAAGAACCAGCTCAGGGAGGTCTAGGCCCTCAGCCTTTGAGGGAGGGACTGGGTGCTGGCTCAGTCTGGGGTGGGTCAAAGCTCTGTGGTGGGGAGGAGAGAGGCTGAACTAAAGCTCAGGAGGGAGTTAACAAGCCTCTGTTCAGATGCAGAGGTTTGGAAATCTATTTAGAAGCTCAGCTAGCCTCCTGCCAGTTTTACAACCTGGAAATTGTTCTTTCTGGCCTTGGAGCCATCTCTGAAATGTGAACCTCAGGGGACCTCCAGGGAGCTAACACACTCCCTGTCTCAGTGGGAGTTTCAGTCCAGGCTCCACCTGCTCACCAGAGGTTCTTTTTAGCCTTGTTTACTTCTCCCTCCAGAAGACAAGCCTTTTTTTGCCCCTGCTCTGAGAGACATCTGCAGATCTCAGGGTCTGAAGTGCATGCATAGCTGGTGCAGCGTCATTACGGATCTCATAGTCTTGCAATGACCGCTTTTCCCATTGCACTCGCCCCTCACCCTCTCTTGCTATCATCCTGTTGAATAAAGCCTTCCCTTATCTATGTCCAGATTAGTTCTTATTTGGCAGAGGGGATGCAAAACTTTCATCTTCTAAATTGGGGATCAGTTCTAAAGTCAGTGATTGTGCTCAATGCATGTGTCACAGCTCTGCTGGACACCCAGGACAGCCAAAGACAATGCCAACTGGAAAGGTGCTCCATCCCTCGGGAAGCTTGTGAGGTTCTGCAGAATCCCAGCCAGGCACCCCAAGTCACCCCTCCACCCTTCCGCTCATCTTCACACCACCCACTGTGTACATCTGTGTCTGGGATCCAGGGCAATGTGAATTTTCTTTTTGTTTGGGAGATTATTCATGGAAAACTGATCCTCTTCTCTCTTGCCCACTATTGTTTACAATATTTGTACATCTATGCAAAATACTTGAATGGGCCATAGTGCCTTTTTTCCTTGTTTGTATTTAATTGAAATAAATTTTTTTGAATGTTGTCTGGCTGAGTAGCTCTTTTGTTTAATGCCTGATGTTCAGGTAGGATTTGGGTGCAGAGCATGAGGGCCGCTCAGAAGTCCTGCAAAGACCAGCAGCCCTAATGGAAGCTCCTAAACTACAGAAAGACCCTGGGTTTTCCTATGCTCAGTCCAGGGCCTGTTTTGTACCTGGACATGAGCTGGTCTAGTTAATTAGGTTTCTAAAGTCAGGAATGATCCTGTGATTAGCTGCAGGTCTACTCACCCTTCTACTACTGCTATTAGGGGACTGCTGAGACCCCTCTGTTCACCTCTGTTCATGCAAAGAGGGAGAGACAAGACTGATGACTCTTGGGCTGGGTGGGCAGCTGCAGAACCAGGGGGAGGTGTGTGTGTCTTCTGACTCCAGAGCCTGGGCAACACCGTAGCTCACATCTATTATAGCCTCCCAGTCGCCAAAAGCAATTTACCCTCATTCTCTCATTTGCTCTCCACCTCGGTGTTGAGGTTCTCAGAACTGTTGTGACAACGAGGATAGGAGGTGACTTTTACTGAGTCCTTAATACATGCCAGACCTTAACTTGATCCCACTCAATCTGCAAAACCCTCATATCTGAAAAGATTCTCTAACTTTTCACCCTGAGTATCAAAGGCATGAATACACAAATGCCCCAGCTACTAAATACCCACTCCTGGAAGTAGCCCCACCAACCACCCCTGCTGCTAATACTACCATCTGAACCAGCCCTGGGGCCACTCAGGCCAGTGTCTGGGCTGAGGTCACAGATGGACCAGCAGGATGAGACCCAGGGCCTGGCCGGCAGACCTGGGTTGCAATCCCACCTCTGGTGCTGCCCAGATGTTGTGAGGGTGAGTGAGTCCCAAGCACACAGAGGGGAGAAATGTCCACCTCAAAAATGCCCCAAGCATCAGTGAAGCACTGTGAAAACCGTGGGGCCTGGGCAGTGACCTGACCACTCCTGTTTTCAACTCACTTCGCTAGCAGACTGGGGTTCTGTCAGGATTTGCTCTGGATGGAGAGCTGGCCCCTGAGAGTTTGGCAGAAAAGCCTTGTTGGAAGTATATTCAAAAAAATTTTTATGAATGCCAGCTATGTGCTAGGCACTGAGGATAAACAACAATTCTCAAGAAATATATCCAGACAGGGAGTGCAGATGACACAAAAGGAAAAATGACAAAGTGACATCAGACACTATTGGGACAAGTAGTTTTTGGGGAGACAGTGCGCCTGGTGATTAAGACCGTAAGGCCAGGGCTCAGAGCCCCATGTCACCCTGCACTGGCTCTGCCTGTGTGAACTTGGGCCATCACGTACCCTCCCTGAGACCTGTCCTTGTATATAAAATAAGGGGGGAAAAATCCACCTTGGGGGTTTGTGAGGATTTGGAAAATTCACAGGAAGCTTTTAGTGCTGGGCTGGCTTGTAGCAAGGGCCCAGGGGTTAAAAGGCATGAGTATCTTCCACAGATCACGCTCCCCAAATAGCCTCCTACTCTGATGAGGGCCTGGTGATGTAAGCTGCTGCAGGGACAACTAGCAGCCACAGCCCCCAGAGACAGGGACCGTCCCAGGACTAGAGGAACCAGTGAAAGGCAGGCAGAAACACAAATACCAAGGAAATATGCTCATAGTCTTTATTTTTGACTCTGTGGACCCCACGCCCAGAGCCCTTCAGGGCGCTGCTGATCTCCAGATCCAACATGTTGCATTGATTTGAGCTATAGCAGAAATCCACATTCATCACATGGTGGGGATCTTAGGCTGTAGGCTCTGGGAACCAGTATGTCTGTCAGCCTTTGCTGCTCAGAGGTAAGCAGGAGGTTGGCAAGGGCTTGTCTGTGCTTTCAGCAGGCTTGGGGGATAAACCCAAGTGCAGGAGCCAGGGAGCACAGAGGGGGCCCTGTGCTAGCCCCCTGATAAATGCAGGCTCCCTTACTTCCCTCTCTGTGTCCTTATACTAGTTCCCACACTTTTTGCTACTAGAAAGGAGGGAAGAGAAATCCACCCCCTCCCCCAGGTTGTAAGGCTGTACAGCCAGGTGTGCGGGCACCAAAGGCAGACCCCCCCCAGATAATGCAGGAGCAGTGATGACATGTGCTTTCAAGGCTACAGCCTGGCAGGGCAGCTGGGGACCTGGTGCCAGGCTTCTACCCCTACTTGGTCACCAAAGTTCCAAACTGATCCCACTGGCCAAGCCCTGCAGGCTGCAACCCAGAAATGACCCAGCGTCCTTTCTGCCAGGCTCTTGGTTAGACACGAGAGAGTAAGTGCACCAAAGAGGTTGTGGCTGCTTCCCAGTGAATCCCAGCTCTGCACCTCATGCCTCTCCCCAGATCCCCAAATTATATTTGTATTATATTTATATTATATTTACTCCTTGAGGAAAAGGGAAGTGCATTCTGGCAAATTCTAGCTGGACAGTTAGGCAACGTTTAAGAGCAGCGCTATTGCTGCTTTCTTCCAAGTGTGGCAAACTGAAATGGTGGATTTAGGTAGTGGGCTGGGCTGTGAAGCATTTTCTCCTGTTTTGCTCTGACTTCTACAATAACTGCCCATGTCTCAGCAATGACTCCTGGGCCAGGAGAGTGAGGCAAGTGGTACATAGGTGGGGGTAAGAGGGGCGGTGCATGGAATCAGAGAGGCTGACCTCCAGGAGGGGTGCTGGGGACACACAGGCCTGGGGACTGTTTCCCTGAGACATCAGGTGGTTTTCACAGTGAGGAGGTCAGCTGGGGTCTTGCTTCTGGCTCTGAAGAGGAGGTGGCAAAAGCAAGGAGACATTTGACACAAGCAGTGTCTCGGTCAGTTCCAGATTGAGAGGCCTGGCCAATGGCTCTCAGGCCCGTGGGACACAGGCCCAGTCACACTTGAGCCTTGCACTGAGGATTGGTGAGTCTGTTCCAGGAGGCCCAGTGCTGAGGTTTCCTAATGTCCCACACCACAGGGACATTCTCCGACTGTGCTACATTCAACGGGTCAAGTCTAGTATCTTCCCGACAACAGAAATGGCACCAAGGAAACAAGCAAGAAGGGAAGCCCAGGGGCACTCGCTGGCACCAATGTACAGTAGGGTATTTGGTTGCTGAGGCTGTGTTTCCAGAAAGTTCTGCACCACCGCTCACTGGGTAGGGGATTTTTCTCCTGGAAACAGTGATGAGGTATACATGAACATCTCAAGAAAAAGGAGCCCCTGGGGACAGCTGTGCAGAGAATAACTAGGTGGCTCTGGAATTCAGAAGTCAGGCTGTCCCTGCTCAACCTCTGGCTCTTGTATTTCCAGTTTTATGAATGGATTATATAGACTTTGGGCTTCTCTTCTGGTGATGGGGTGCTGGAGAGTTCTATATTGTCCACCAGGACATTCTTGTCTTCCAGCCGAATAACCGTGGGCTCTGGGGCGGGATCTGGTGTGGGGTTTTTGTGCATATGGGGCAAGTTAGCCCAGCTGATGTCCATGTCTTTGAAGGCGTGGAGCATGAACACACCCAGGATGATGGTGACAAAGCCAGAGAGGGTACCCACAATGTCCATGGCAGACATACTATGCCACTCCTTGAAGAGGATGATGGTAGAGGTCATCACCACAGAGGTGAAGAACACGTAGTAGATGGGGAACACCAGTGAGGTGTTGAAGATGTCCAAGGCCCTGTTGAGGAAGTTGACCTGAGTGCTGAGCGAAAGGGCCAGGATGAGGGACAGGATGTAGGGGAGAGGGTGCCGCACCACTGGCAGCCCCTGGAAGAAGTTCTTGATGGTGATGCCCAGACCCTTCACGGCAGATACAGAAAAGGCCCCGATCACTGAGCAGATGATGATGTAGACCAGAATGTTCCTTTGCCCATATCGGGGGGCGACGATGAAGATGAGGATGAGGCAGAGTACTAGCAGAAGCACGGCGAACACGATGTACCCTGCAGGTTGGGGAGAGAACCTGAGTGATGGAGCAAGTAATGAGCACCCAGACCCTCACGGCAACAGGAGGTCACAGTAAAGAACTGGGCTCAAGAGTCAGAAAACAGGTTCCAACTCCAGCTTCTTGACCTGGTAATAACTTGGGCAAATTATAACAAACCCCAACACCATGGATCTCTCCTTTGTAAAACAGGACTAATACGAGGTCCATTCTCATTGGGCTTTTTGTGGAATCAAATAAGATAAAGCATGCAATCAACTGAATGTGTCACCCCTAAAGTCATATACTGAAACCTAATCCACAATGTGAGGGCAGAGTCCTCACACATAGAATGTGTGATCTTCTAAAGGAGACCTCCAGGGGCTCCCCAGCCCCTCTGCCACACGAGGACACAGTGGGAAGGTCATCCACGAGTCAGGGAATGGGCCCTCACCAGATACTGGCTCTCTGCTGGGTGCTGGTCACAGACTTTCAGGCTCCAGAACTGTGAGACATGCTGTTCTCAGCCCCCCGGTCTACGGCATACTGTTACAGCAGCCTAAGCAGGCTGAGACGATGCTTGCAAAGTATTCAGAACATTTAAAAGTGATATACGCTTACACGTGGAATATAGAGAAACCAAACAGGGTCAGATAAAGGAAAACTTAAAACCCTTGAAAGCTGACGACATAGCGAGGTGTATGGGGTGGTAAGTGGAAGGATGAGAACAAGGTGGGGAGCACAACGGGCTATGGTGGAGGACGATGGGTGCCTTGGTGGCAGGAGCGCTAAGATCACTACACCCAAAGAGGGGGACCCTATACTACCAAAATACCAACAACAATGTAGACTAATTTTACCTGAATTAAAAAAAAAAATAGAACGCTTAAAAAATGGCATCCATAGAAACCAGGCCAGAAACCTGTGAGCTGGCCTTGGTACCAACCCAAGCTGTTGGAAGCTGCCTTCTCCCCCAGAGGCAGCATGGAGCCCGTACATCTGCCACCGCTCTGGCTGCAGTGCCCGCTGGCTCACCTGTGTCTTTCATCTTGGACGCCATCTCCATGATGGTGGTGACCTTCTCCTCTTCAGGTGCGTGGATCACCATCACTGTGCTGCCGGTCACACAGATCACACAGCCCAGCTTCCCCAGCAGGTTCAGGCCCTCGCCCAGGAAATAGGAGGAGAGGATGGCGCTGCACGTGGACATGGGGTGAGGCGTTAGAGCTGCCACATTGGCCCTAGAGTCCCAAACAATGGGACTGGGCCAGTGCCCTGGGAGAACACGCAAGGACAACCTCCCCTGACATGTGGACACTTTTCTAGACCCCAAAATGTATGAAACAGAGACTTAATTCATGGAGGACATCAGGTGCACTGGAGAAATCAACATGCATGTGGATTTCCTTGTTTTAGAAACTGGAAGTATCCCAAAGCAAAAGAGGTAGAAGAGCCTTCAAAGGCACTTGAAACAATGCTTCCAGGAAGTTATTATCAGCATCCCCAGTTAGTTGATGGGGAAACTGAGGCTTGCATGCTTTGGTGACTTGCCCATGGTATCACAACTACAAAGACAGAGCTGAAGTTCAAGATCAAGGAGTGCTGGTCTACAGCTCAGGCTTGTAACTTCATGCCTCCTCTCAGGACAGCCAAACATGAGATCATTGTGGAGGCCCTTCTGATGCTCTGTGCCTGGCCTACCCCTTGTGGCCCAGTCCAGCCCCAGGGATGTTGGAGCCATGGGCAGTAAGCAATCCAAGGGCCCATAGGTGTGGACAGCAACCCACCTCCTTCTGGAAATGGAACCCTCTACCCCAGTCTCTGATGGCCACCTACCCATCTGGCAGTTCCAACCCTCAACAAAAAAAAACAGTCTGAGGGTTGACAATTACCTTATGAGGACACTCAGCGCTCCCAGGGGTGTGATGACCGTTGCAGGAGCAAATGCATAGGCCCCGAAGTTGGCAACTTCTCCAGCAGCCACTGGGGAATAAAGGGAGAGAGGAGGCTTGTGCGGTCCCCACACCATCCCCAGCCCATGAGAATCTCCAGTCTGTGTTCAGTCGTCAATCGGCTGCCATGCCTTAGCAGCCTAGGGCATCTGATCAGAAACAGGCCTGGACTATCTTGAGCCAATTCCCCTGTTTCACACATCCCACGGAAGCTAGGCCAGAGACCAAGCCACATGACATACTTGTGAGTAGAAACCTTTTTGCCCTCCAGGCCTCTTGGCCTCTAGTATGGGCACATATAAGTACATTCCATGGACTGCCAATGCATGGTCTGTCCCTTCAAGGTGAGCTCTAAAAAGCTCAAAGAAATAGACATAGTTATTGGTTCTCCAGGTACCAATGGGCCTGTGGAACTACTTTCTCAGAGGAACTGTGGGAAGTCTAGACTGACGGTCAGGATAGTCCCAAAGGGTCCATACTTTCCCCATGTGGGTTATCAGGGTGCAAACTCCTGCAGGTGCTTTTTCTGTCTCTGCTGGTGAAGCATGAGCTGGAATGTGTAATGCCGGCTAAGACGGGCTTCAGACCTGACTGAAGCACCATAAATGGAAGATTAGCTAACTTTCCATCTGAAAGATTTATAGCAAACTTTTCATCTGAAAGAATTAGGACTTGAAAGCTGCATGTGTGACTACAAATTTGGGCAAATTTTCAGTGGCAGGCCAGCCAGTGCATTCTAAGTGAGCCAAAAATAGGGAAGGGCCTGAGGGGGCCCAGCCCCTCCCAGGGAGCTGTCCAAGGGGATGCCCGGGTGGCTACATCTCCTTTCGGTTGCAAGGAAGTTGAGAATCACATGTTTCTCATTGACAGCTCTGTCCAAATCTGCTTTGCCGATAAAAGATGGATAAAGTGACCTGAACCAGGTAAGATGTTCCACCTGTAAAGACGGTGGTTCCCCCCAGAACTGTGGCCCTCAGATTCCTACTTTGCACCACAGACACAGCCATGCCCTATCCCCCTCCCATCACCTGGCCTCTGCCTCCACAGTTCACTGTGGTCAGTAGAAAGAACCGCTTACTGGTGAGAAATCCAGCCCACCACATCGTGTCCTTCAGGTAGCCATAGCCTCCGTCCACTGTCGGGAGGAAGGGACAGAGAGTTAGTGCTTGGCCATGCTTTCTCGGGTGCCTGCCCAGCTGCTTGTCCACCTGTCTCTAAAGAGTCAATGTATGTTGTCCTCAGAGAGTTCTTGGAGCTTGCTGCCCCGGCCTCTCCTGGGGGAATCCAGCCTCTCCCAAAGTTTGACACCACATCGATATGCTGCTGTCCCTCCCCACATGTGGTTCCTGACCTTTCCTCTGAGCCCTGATGCAGAGCTAGCTGCTTACTTGACATCTCCTGCCTCTTCAAAGACATCTCAAACTCGGTCCCAAATGGACTCTTGATTTTATTTTATTCTCCATTACAATTTTACTCATTTGCCACACAAAAACATGTGTTTGACAACATCATACCTTAACATGTGCACATACTTTTTTGTCTCCACCAGAGCTCCAGGGCATCCTATCACAGGTATCCTATCCATCTCCAGCCCTCCCCCCTCCTCCCCACTGAAAACCACCATCTCTACACAATGTAAGAGTTCTTTTTGTTGTGATTTGTTTGTTTTTGTGGGTGATTTATATTCTACAAATTATAGAAACCATATGGCAGTTCTCTCACTTTCTATTATATTTCACTTAGGATCATCACCTCAAGGTTCACCCAAATGTCATGATTTCATCCTTTTATATGTCTGGGAACTGTCAATTTTATATCATCAATCCGTCAAGTGAAATTTAGCCATGGTACCTCCATATACCCAGTGACTTAAGCCAGAAACCAGAGCATCATCCCTGCTACCTCTTATGCCTCCACCTTCTGCATCCAGCCCATCCTGCTGATTCTGTCTGCAAAAAAGAATCTCACTGTGCCCACCTCACTGCCACCACCCCCACCACCAGGTGCCACCCCGCTGACCTGGGAGAGGCTTCTTGGCTGCCTACGGTTCCTCTGTCCCACTGTCTACCTTTCTAATTACCCCCTCTCAGGGCAGACTGGGGGCATTTAAGAATGAAGTAGATGACGTTGCCCCCACCTTACAGCGGGCCAAGGGCTGCTCACCCCTGCCCACTTTTTACTACCAGCTACGCTCAGGCTTTGAGTTCTTTAAAGAGGATGATGAGCTCTTTTCAGCCCAAAGGGCTTTGTATATTCTTTTTCCTGTGCCCAGAAGTCTCCTTACTGGAATTTGCCTAAATCTATACTTTCTCTAAAGGTCCCTGCTTAAATGTGGCTGCCCCGAGATGCCTCCTTGAGTCCTTCATTCTCTGTTCTGTCCCCTTGGGGGTCTCTTTCATAACACCAGTTCTTCTTGGCACTTATCACTGGTCATTTGAAATGGATCTGTTTATTTTCTGCCATGCCCCCCTAAGAGGGGAAGCTCCACAAAGCTGGGGATTGTATCTGCTTTGATCCCTGGTGCAAGGAGTCAGCACATGGTGCTATCAGCTCTGAGGATGATGATGAGGATGGGGAGCTTTCTGAAAACCCAAACACTGCGTGTTGCTGTTTGGGACAGTCCTTTCATTAAAGGTTTGCATTGGTTCCTATAGAGTCAGAAACTGCCATAAAAGTGAAGAGCCTTGAGATCATTTTATCTGAGGGTTGAAATCTCAGAAGTTACTGAAATAGCAGACTGGAGGGGAAATGGATTCCAGGGATGCTGTCATTCTGTTGGATTGTCGGAAAAGTCATGATATATTTTTTTCTGTGTTTTTCAAGCAAAAATGTGTGATGACTTGTCCAACAACCCAACAAATGATCAGTGGGACTGTCCTGTTCGTCACCTTGATATATGCAAGCAGAGCTTTTCCTGGCACTTTGGGCATTGTTTGGCATCTCAAAAACACACTCATGAGCAGGGCAGCATCACCCACTGTGACTGACATCATGCGGCTCTGCCAGCTCTCTATTTCAGGCTCCAGACCTGGGTATCCAACTGCCAGTCAGGTGCTCCCACTTAGAAAACCCCGATACCATACCAGTGCTTACTCGGGGTCAATCCTTTTGCCAAACGCACTTCACATCTTCACAGCCAACCTGGAGATGGGAACTATTCTTATCTCCATTTTACAGGTGAGGAAACTGAGGCACAGAAAAACCACTGCTCTGGCCCAAGACCATATCACTAGGAATGGAGGCGCTAGAATTGGAGCCCCAATAGCCTGCTTCCAAACCCCAAGTCCCGCAGAAGCTTGACCTGAACATGCTCACGTGTGAACACATCACCATCCCAGCAACGGCAACTCCTGCATTTTCCATCTCAGGAAATGGCCCCGGGAGCACACTGCATGCCCAAATCAGAAAGCTGAGTCACCCTGGGCTCCTGGGCTCCTCCTGCTCTTGGAGTCAGGTGACACCAAACCCAGTCAGTTCTCCCTTCAGAAACCAGGTGTGGCCTCCACCACTTGCCTCCACTGTCGCAGCTGTTTACCAAGTCCCAGTTCTCTCTCCCCTCCATGGCCTCCCACCCCCCAGTCTCGTCCCTAATCCATGTCCTGCCCTGCAACCATCCTGCTTGCATCATAAATCTGATGGCGTGATTCTCCTGTCTGAAACCTTTCTGTCTCTTCCAACTGTGCTCAGAACCTGAAGCCCAGTTCCAGGACCCTTTCTCCTTGGGGCCTGACCCCACCGCCACCACTCCCCAAGCGTAAGTCATCCTGAACTCTGCTCATGCCATCCTGAACACTGATATACTCATGCTCCCTCACCCCCTGCTTCTGTGCTGTCTGTTCTTTCTGCCAGAACATCACAACCTCACTGTCCCTCTACCTCATATCTCCTCATCACTCAGGTCTCAGCCTCCGGGCCACCTCTTACAGAAACTCCCCTCATCCCTCCAAATCTGAGCTTTGCAAGCCCTTCCAAAATTCTCCCACAGCATTCCCCAATGACAGTGCTTCACGTGCACGGACCCAAGCTACTGATCTCCCCTACTCTCCCCTGCACGCCGTCAGGCTCTTCATCCCTCAGGTCTAACAGGGTCCTGGCACGAGGCAGGCACACCCTGCATGATGATCAACAAACCAGTTGTCAAGTAAAATTCCTTGTTTCAAGAACTGTTTTGTGAATACACATCTCATCTGACAAACAAGCAAATCCCTGTGGACAGAAACTTAATGATTCTTTAGCAGCCTGTAGAGAGCTCAATTTCATAGTAAGTGAGGGCACCCCGTTGTGTGACTTCGTCTGGGCAGGGGCTGTGTTCCCATGTTGCAGTTCCTTGATGACACTGGGGTGGGTGGGTGAGATGCAGAACCTGGGCCAGACCTGGAGTTTCTGCTTCTTGGCTCTGAGGATCTGTCCTCTCTGCATGCCAGGTAGCTGATTATGTACCCAGGAGCAACTGGGCGGTAAGGAAGCTCTCCTGCTGGTGTGGAGTCCCACAGGGTTGGCTAAGAGCCTTCTGTGCTTCTGGGCCAGGCTCCCACACTGCAGCAGTGCCCCCGTGCAGGGGATCAGCCAAGCCTCCCCCCAAGAGCTTACCAGCTCGGGTGGCCCCTGTGGCCACCAGTCGTTGAAGGCCCTTCTTCTTGAGGATGACACTGCTGCCAATGAGGAAGCTGGAGAGGATGGCCAGGCCCAGGCCAACGTAGAAGCTGTAGCTCTTCCAGAACCTCTCCTGCCAGCTGAGAACGGTGCCATTGCTGGGTGTCTCAGAGCTGGGGTCCCTGAGGATCTGGCACAAGACTTGCTGGGAGGAGCAGTAGAGGCTGATCAGGGAACCTGAATGGGAAGGCCGTGGTGAGAGAGGAGGCTAAGCACATTCTTTTGCTTTTAAAATACTGTTTCAGACCCCTGCTTTGGCTACAGCAGAGCCTGGAAACTTACCAGCAAATGATACAACCTGAGCATGCGCAGAAATGTCTAACCTTGACCTGAGCCCCAACGTCAGCTAGAGCTGGAGCTACAAATGCAGAGGAGGAGGGCTACCCAGACGTGAGGGGCCCACCGACAGAAATTCAAAATTGCACTTACCTGAAGAAAAGCCCCATCAATGTCTCCCTCTACACATTGTCCTGTTATTCCTCAGTGAACTTCAGCCAAGTTCACACTGTCCTTAGCCAATAAAATTTAACTCCTTTGTTTTCAGTCTTGGTTCCCCAAACCTGTATAACTTCATTTATCTTAATTGGGGAGGCTTATTTGAGCTAACCTCTGGCCTCCTTGCCAATTGATTTGCAATAAAGCTGCTTTCTTTACTCAAAACCTGGTGGGTATCTTGGTGTTGGCCTCTGTGCAAGCCTTTGGCTCGGTGACACAGGTTAGGGGCTTTATGTACGTGAACTGACCCAAGTCTTATAGCTACCTGCCAAATAAGTCTTGCCTTTATTTCCCACTTCATAGATGTGGAAATGGAGCCCATGAAAGGTCAGGTACTTTGCCTAAGGACTCAGGGATTGTCTGACTCCCTATCTCCAGTGTGAAGCCACCAAGCTCAACTCATGCCCACAGGACCAGCAGGGCCCCCCAAGCTCTCACACCTCACAGAATCCAGCCTTCTGCCCTGCACAGGGATCTCCCCCCAGCCTCTGCACCAGGCTGCAATAGCTCTGGATCATGAAGGAGTCTCCCCTTCCAGGGTCCTCTTCATCCCATAGCCCTAATTCCCCCCGCAATAGGAGACTTGGGGTTGAACAGTTCACAGCCTTGCTAGACATGGAGATGACTAAACAGGAGCACCCCATTTATTGAACCTTACTTCTTAGACCTCTGGAGTGTGGCTGGGGGCTTTGGGGATGATGTGCCCACCATCCCAGACAGATCTGTCTTCAGTTTGCTTTCCAAGTCCTAGACTGCCTAAGAGCCTGAATCAGACAGCATGCCCCAGAGCCACAGACACAAACACCAAGGACAACAGGATAAACATGGGCCTGAGAGGCAGACCCTCATGAAGAGTGAAGCTGTACAAAGTCAAGGAAACAGCACAAAGCAGAGCCATCAGCCTCCAGTGCCAGCACCCACATGGCTCCCTCTCTGGGGCTTTCTGTGGGCATTTCAATTTCTCTAGAAAATGGGCACAATTACCACGTCCACTGTTGTAGGTGGAGACACCTGAGCTTTGAGAAGTTCAGCAACTGGTCTGAGGCTACAATGGAGCTAAGCACTGAAGCCAGATGTTGGACTGCAAGCTTACCTGATGCCAACCCATGCCCATAACCGCCACCTAGCCCCTTAAAGCAGGCAGCAAGGGGTTGGGGGAAGGTCAATTGCCCTCTTTGAGGGTTATTTAAAAGATGAATTCGCTATCACATTTAAAAATCATATCTTCCATGAAAAATCAGGTTTTGGGGAGGAGGAGGTTTTGCCTGCCTTGAGTGACATAGGACATGCTCTGTGCAGTCCCCCAGAGTTCCTACTGGCTCCCTGGCACTTTTATGTGCTTGATGTCTGCAGAGAGTTGAGACTATGACCTCGCTTGGTAGAAGGCCTTTATCAAACTGTCTGTCACCAAGACCCAGGCTCCTTTGGAAGCCTGGATCAGCAACTTTTCCTTGGAACAAGCCACAACTCCAGTGCTAGCAGGCCCCTGAAGCCCCAAGTCAGGCAGCTCTGGCTTTGGCATATCTGCAATACAGGGGGGCACCATGGTGAAACAAAATAAGGGCAATGTTACCTTTCTTTCTTGGCACGGAGCATAGAGAGCAGCACTGGGAGAGGTCTTGGAAGCAGCCTGTCTAACCCTTTTACTCTCAGCTAGGGAGAATGAGGTGCTGGCAGGGGAAGGACTTATTTGAGTGACACAAACACCTGGTGCAGAGCTGGGTCTGGATCCCACCAGAAACACTCCTGTGTCTTTTTGGTAGGGAGCTCTCTTTCCGATACCAGTGTCACAATCGGGAGATGAGACAAGAAGCCAGCTCAGTTCCTCATCACACTTGTCCTGACTGCTCACTCCTGTTTCTCCAGGTTGGACAAGAGTTGAATCCGGGGAGTTCCCGGGGTTCAGGAAATGAGCCAGAGCCTGCAAGGATGTGGGCCAAGGAAGGCTACTCCCAAGAGGAAGGGCAAGTCTGTTCCCACACCCTGCCCCGCCCCTGCTCTCCCACTGTGCCTCTCCAGCAGGCAGAGGCAAAGGGCCTGGTGTGGGTGTGGCTGTTTGCTGGAGGCCTGAAGCACCCAAGGGGCTCAGCACCTTGCATGAGCCCAGTTCTCCCATAGGGGTAAAAAGAAAAATAGTGAGGAGCAATGGTCAAAGGAATTCCAATTCCCAAGAGGATCCTCAGCTGAAAGAAGGCCTGATGCCTCCTGCTTCTCTTTCAGAATATTGCTACACCAGGGAAACAGATTCCTCCGTGAGGGAAGGAGAGGCTGAAAATGGGCTGCCTGGTTCATCAGGAAGCCAAAGCCAGCCAACACCCAAGTGGCTGGCTTTGAAGCCTCATGGGAGAAGAAATTAGAGAAACAGAGACACCCTACAGGCTGTAAATCCAACAGGGGGTTGTATATGGAGATGCTCCTAGGAAGGAATGGGGCCTTATATTTATTTCCAGCACAGATTTTAGAAACCAAGAGTCCTCGCTTTCTATCCCATCCCCCCACTGCATTTCCTTGAGCAAATCATGAGATTCTTCAGAACCTCCGTTCTGTATCTCCAGGATGGATACGCGGAGGCAACATGTCCACCTCGCTGGAGTTAGCTGAAGGGTGAAATGATTTGACAGGAGGAGAGGCCTCATCAAGCGCATCACGCGCATCATGGTAAGAGCTCTGTGCAGCCAAAGGCCTTTCCTTATCTTTTCCTGACATTGTCCGTTCTCTCTTTTTTCTAAAAGTATGTATGGGTTTGGGGGCGGTGGGTCTCTGCGCCCCTCTCCCTTGTCTTTCATGCGCCCCGCAGAGGCTGCCAGACCTGGGAAGATGCTAACACGGGAAGCAACTTTATATTTAAAAAAAAGTGCGGGGCGTCGGGCAAGATGGCGGCGGAGTGATGTGCTGGCTGGCTCGCCTCCTTAGAGGTGCAAACTAGCCTGCAGAGCACAAAGCCAAAACCCTGAAGAAACGGTGACCACCATAGGAGCAACAGTTCATCAAAAAGGCTCTGCCTCTGTGCAGAGCCCCCTGTGGTTGCCAACGCAGGGCACGTGCCAGGACGCAACTCCTGAGACCCGGCACTGCACTGGATAAGGGGGCGCGCAGAGCTGGCACCCAGGACAGAGGGTGCACTGTTGGGGAGCTGCAGGGATGGGGTGCAGCGCGAGGATTACTGGCTTAAGCCTGAGGCCCTCAGTACAGCTGGAGCCTGAGGCGGCGGGAGAACCAGGCGCGACCACCCTGTCTCCTTCTACAGGAGGCTCCTACTCAAAGCCCAGGCTGGGATATTCACAACACCTGCCTCCCCACCCCAGGGTTGAAACCAAAACCACAAACAAACCCGCTTGTGGGCGACCTGCTCCAATCAGTACTACCCTCCCCCACAAAGTCCCCTTTACACCCCCCTCCGCGGGCTACCACACCTCCAAAGATGGGAGAAGTCACCAGAACTCTGCTGGCCCCTTCCTAGGAGGAGTCCCACAACAGGGTGGGGGACAACTGGTGCTGACCCTCTCCCTCCTTCTCTTTGGGGGCTCCTGGCAGGAAAGGCCGCTGGGAGGGGAGCTCGCACGGGATCCCACCCCCTTCCTGGGTTGCCCGCGCCCCACTGTTCCCCGGTCCCCACACCCCCGCCCCCTGCTGCACGCACCGTTCTCGCAGCTGGCATTGTCGGCCCGCAGCTCCATGGGGTCCTGGGCGCGCGCGGCGACGCGCGGGCTGGCGGCGCTGGGGCTCCAGGCTGCGGAGCAGGTGGCCGACACGCGAGAGGCCGCCGGGGTCGGGACTCGAGGGTGGGGAGAATGACGCGCCCCGAGGGGAGGGTCCCCGGGGAGGAGTCACCCGGCGTCTTGGGCAACACCGGGGCCGGGGGCCTGGCGCTCGCGCTGCGCTGCCCGCGGAGGGGCGCACGCCCTCCCGGGGCGCGGAGGCTCCGGGCTGGCTGGCCAGGGAGTCACCGCCTGCGCCCCGGGCAGGAGGCGAGGGGCGGTCCCGGGCGCCGCTCCTGCGCGGCGTTGACCAGCACCAGTTCCGTCCCCAGTGACAGGGTGATGGGATGCAGCAGCGCGGGAGAGGGGGCAGGTTTCTGGCCAATGTGAAGTAGTTTACAGAATTGATGGAAGTTAGAAAACTTGCAGTACAAAGAGCTCCATACACCTGTCGCCAGCTTCCCTCCTGTGGACATTTTGTATAGGAATAGAAAAGCCATCTTTTAAATACTCAGGAACTTGCCCCCAAGGTCCCAGAAGGAATGGAAATAAATGTGGGGCCTGCGCTGCCCCCTACCCCCAGCCTGTCCTCCAGGCACAACCCCCCTTCCCGCTCCCCTTTTGGACTTTCTAGCTTACAGGACCTGGGAGGATGAGGTTTCCACACGAGGCTTCCTCTCACTGGCTGGTTGCCTTTAAGCAAGTCATTCTCCTGTGGGACGAGTTTCTTCATCTGTCGCATAAGACACACAACCTGGGTGTGTGTGAGAAGGTGTGCCTGTGTTTGTGGGGGGCACCTGTGTGTGCGTGTGTGTGTGTGTGTATGTGTACCACTTTGTGATCCTGGGTGAGGTGGGCAAGGCAGAGGTTAGAAGGAAAGGGAAGCCACAGCTATTGCCAAGGGTGAGCCCTTCTCAGGAGTACTGCCAGCAGCACACAGCCAAGGTCATGGATCTCTAGCTCTGAAGGGATGTGGCACCAGAGTTCAATGGAGGGGAGTATCTCTCGGACTAGTCCTAGAACCCAGAGAAGCCAGAATCTACTGGATGAGACTTAAGAAAAACACAGCGTCCGTGCTACCTGAGAGGGAGGGTGTGAACTACGTTGTCTTTTCTTGTACAGAGGAGACCCCACTGCTGGTCAGACCCAGTGGCCATCTCGGAGGCCAGCTGGGGTACAAACCTCACTCTATTGCTACCTATACTCAGCTTCTCTTCCAAGGACCTCAGAGAAGAGCTGTGGGATGGCCTGGCCTTTTGAAATCAGAGAGTGGATGTGTAGGTTACGGTTCCATTGTGCCAGAGCTGAGCCCAGATTTCAGAGACGGAAGCACAGGTGTTCCTTAATTCATGGACTTTGTATGTGTTTGTGAGCTACGGGATCAGGGCCCAGGCTCAGGGACGGTATTGAGTTCACTCTGGGCTTTGAGACAGGGCTTTTCAGACTTGGGTGAGCTTTAATCTTAAGGCATGGGGCTGAGATGGAAAGAGCTGGGATCCACTGGAGGGCCTTGCACACCCTTTCTGGGCCTCAGGCCCCCCATTTGTTCTAGGAGGGGGCGGAGCGCCCCACAGCTGGTGAGGAGCATGCTGGGAGCACAGACATAAAGAGCTCATTGAAGGGCAGGCTCCTTCTGTCCTCACAAAGCGCTTTTCTATCAGTCACAATAGCCTTGTCAGGCAGGTAGCAGGGCCTGCAGCATTGTCTCCCCAGAAAAGAACGGAGTTCACTGTCTGTCCCAGGCTCATCTCCCAGGGAGGGTGGGTAGCTTTGAAAGGGTCTGACCAGCCAGGGACAGATAGGCTCTGTCCTTAGTGGGGCAGGCTCTGATGAACCAGCCTCATTTCATTTGGCCAGTTATTCAGGGATGAACAGGAAAACAGTTTACCCAGACCCAAATTGCCGAAACCTGGCTTTTCTGAGTGCATACCCAAATGTCACTGCTCCTTCTGGTAGGCTGCCCGGTTACTTGGACAAAGATGTAGCTGCTGTCCTGTAGGGCTGGGCTTCTGGGCAGGGTGGGGAGGGACAGATGACTGTCACCTTCTTCGGGCTGACCTGGAATCATGGGAATCTGGACCGTCCACCCTTCAAAGCTTTATTATCATGAAGCTTTATTGTCATCAGTGATAATGCTTGGAATGGACACAGGTGCCATCAGAGTGGCTGTTAGAGGAGCACCATGCCCAGCAATGGGGCCCATCTAAAGTGGCATCAATAGTGATATTAAAACCACCCACCACTGCTGAGTTGTCCCTGTCCTAACCACTTCCAGGCATTGATTCAAATGATTATTCCAGTCCCTTACTCTGGCTCCTATTTAAGTCCCATTTTATGGATATAGAGATTGAGGTTCAGAGAGATGCAGCATGATCCCCAAGTTTACACAGCCATAGAGGCAGAACTTCATGCTCCACGTGTACATCCTCAGGGCAGCTTTCTAAACTAAGGCAGCACACCTTCCTACTCAGAGCTGGAAGGTTACCACTAGCCTGACCCTGTGTTTGCATATGGGGACACTGAGGCTGAGAGAGGGGTGAGTTCATGCTCCAGTTCACTCAGCTCATCTGTGACAGAATCAACATGACACTCAAAGTCACTTTAATCCCAATCCAGAGCTTTTATCCATCACTGTTGCTTTCTTAACAGAAAGGGCTGACCTTAGGGCATATACTAAGACTTGTTATTTTTGGCCACTTTTAAGGGTGATCCCTGAGTTCACATACATTTTCCCATTTACTCCTGGGGTGTGCTGATTCTCATTTTAGAGATGAGAAACCGAACTCAGGAAGGTTTTTTTTTTTTTAAGATTTATTTATTTATGCATACAAGAACTGGGGTGCAGGCCAGAGGTGCAGGGGGTGAGAGGATTCACCAGAGACAGAGTGGGGAGCAGAACAGGAAGATTGACTGAAATACACTGCTGAGGGGAGCAGCGGGTGAGACAGGAGAGGTCTTCTGTGCCATGTGGGTCAGCTTCCTGGCCGGGGTTCGAACTTGTATTGCAGTGGCTGCAGATAGCTTCATAGTGCCGCAACTTAACCCCTTGTGCCACCAGGGAGGCCCCAGGAAGGTTTTTTTTTTAAACTTGTCTACAATTAAATAGTGGGACCAATATGAAATCACGCAGAAAAATGCTAGAACCAGTTCTCAAGCAGCCCATTGCTGTTTACGGGCTCCCATCGGAATACCTGTGTGTAGGAGGAAGAAGTTTCCTACCATGGCAAGGTCCTTAGATAATAACATTTCATTATAACTGAAGAGGAAAAAAAAAAAACCCGCCATCAAAACTGACATTACTGTAGGACCTCATCTCCATCTATGTCATTTTACTTGAAGTAGAAGTTTCTAAGAACCTATGACCACATTAGTGAGGACTGGCGGTGTCTCAGGGGCCAGAGCTCACTCGGAGGATCAACATGGAACCAGCGTTGCTTGGCCTTGTCTTGGTGTGCAGGGAACCTATTGTCCCTGACCGATAGGAAGAACATCAGATCCATGGAGAACTAGCTATAGCAAAATAACACTGGGATCTACTATACTTGTTGCTCAACTTTTGTGTTGCTGGTTCCCTCTAATTGACCTCTAATCCTCACAGTGGTGGCAGTGGGCGCATGGAGTTACCCTAACTTTACATGTGGTTACCCTAGCTTTACATGTGGAGACAGTGGGACTCTAAGGCAGGTGACTTGCTCAAGGTCACACAGATGGCGAGCAGCTGAGCTGGGAGTTGAGCAGGTTCTTGTAGCTCCACTGCAGCCTCAGGTCGGTGGGTTTTGGGGGCCGAGATGCTGCTCCCCTGAGCCTGTTTGTACCTGCAGCGTTTGGGTTGTGAGAACAGGGAGGGCAGGGATACAGTGAGCTGTGTGCCCAGAGGGAAGCCATATAGCTTGAAACTAAGCTCTGAAACTAAACTGGAAATAGCCAGGTTGGAAGTTAAGGACAAACTTAACGTGTATTTTTCCTGTTGGGATTTAAAAAACTTAACCATCTTAGGCTCTGGTGTCTGAGAAGTTGGCATAAAGAATCAGGCGACATGCATGCTAGTCCCTGTTTTGCCACAAACCATGGGGACCTGAAGCAGTTCCTTCCCATCTGGGTGTCATTTTCCCCAACATGTACACTGAAAGTAGAGAACTAGGCTCATGATTTTTAAAGCTTTTTTCTTTGATGGGATGGAAGTAGGTAGCAGAACCTCTTTTTCCAAATAGAAAGTTCAATGGACATAGAGATTTTTTACTGGGGCCTGGAAACTTGCCTGCTTGGCTTCCAAGTGGCCTTCTTGGTGTCCTCTCTGTAGAAGCTACTGCAACCTGCCTACCTGTGCTAGGACTCAAAACATCCCTGCCTGATAACAGGGGCCTGTGGGGTTTTCTGGCATATAATGCCTGCATCAGCAATTCTTCCTCTGGGATGCTCCCACAGAGCCGGTTGGAGGTTCAGAAAAATGGCTGAAGATGTCACTTCATGGAGGATGGGGGGGGGGTGGGGTGTCTTGCAAGGGGCATGCTCTTGAAGGGAAACTCAGGACCTTCTCGGTTCTCTATGGCCTGTGACACATGCACATTGCTGTCAAGTGTGTGTGAAGTCTCCGGTGTGGGTGATTTGCTCTGAGTCTCGGGGTGAAGTGCCCACCCACTCTAGAGTGGAAGGCAGTGTGGGCCCAGGGGTAGGAGAGGTGTTTTGTTAGCAAACTTGTGACTAACTCAGCTTCTATGGGCTTCTGGGGAGGACGAACAGGTTTGGGTTGTGCATGGCTCTCACCTGGACCACACATCATAGCTGTGTGGCCTTAGGCAAGCTACGTACCTTTTCTGGGCTTCATTGTCTTATCTGTAAAACAGAGATAGTGCTGCTGATGGTAATAAAGTTAGTTCTTACTAAGACAGATTCTAAGTGTGTGCTTCTCCTGTGTTCCATCAGCAAACCCTCACAATAGCTGTAGTGCCAATGGGCACAGGGCAGACAGGATCACTCTCAATTCAAGCAGATGG